TATTTTTTTTGGTTGCGTAGTTCTTGAATAATAATTGGAAAATAAATCGAAATATTGTTAATACTCTTACACACGTTAAATAAAATATTTCCTTTTAAACACGGCAATATTGTGGTAAAAATCTGCAACTGATTTGTCCTATCGAAATGACCTTATGATACGACAACATTTGTATAATTATATTGAATGCTACATCAGTCTACTATTATTCATGTCCCATTTCAGCCATGAGCTATTGACAACAATGCAAATGCTATAGGTTGCATGCAGCGTTTCTCTATACAGACATAAAAGACTTTCAAGAGGAGTAAGAAATACTTATATATGTGATAATGTATTCCTGAGTTATAAATATCACTTACAAATTACGTGTTAAGAAAAGCCCGTTTCAGAAAACGCAGCCAGTTACACTAATACACAGCTTATATCATCTCCCAACCGACTCACAAACATAGGCACACAAGGCCAACAGACACAACAACCAAATCATAACAACAACCCACCAGAAATGGCAAAAACCATACTCCTAGAAAAACCGACAAAATAATTTCGAAGCGGACGATGCACCCACCCCCGAACATAATGCCACATCACGAACAGAAGGACCCAAAGGACTCAACGAGAGTCCCAAACACCCATTCACAAATAGTCGAGCAAAAGACGAGACTGCCGAAATGTCCAAGTACCCGTAAAATATGAAAAAGGATCCAGAAGGGAGGACAATGTCCATACAAAGTACCAGCCACACAGACCATCGGCACGCCACCAGGATTGAAGGAACAAATATAATTAAAAATAAGTACACAAAAGGCAATTGAACTTAGATTGATTCGTGATTTTCTAACATTGCGAGTTCAAGCAATACCCTACTAGAAACTCGAAGAAGACGTTAACTGGCATCATTATTCTATTAGTACAGCTAATGTTAGGTGAACGTTGAATAAAATGATTTTCGTACATTTATGAAGGAGAAACCGAGCAAACACTGTCATTTCATTCATGATATTAGTGTTGTCTTAATGTTTTCATATATAAATTTCATACTTCAACTTAAGGTCTATTAAAATGCTATACAACTTAAATAACCAAGAAAACAGAGCATTCCGATTAGAAACTACTCAAAATGGGGGATGTATATTGTGAAAAAGAATTATTTTGCCAGTTTTAAACATGTTAAGATTAATATACACTAATGTATATGACGACAAATCCAAAGGTCTTACAAAACTGTGTTGATATATCGCTAGAAAATCGATATTATGTAAAGGAGGGATCGGATATCATAGACAAAAACACCTGTTCGACTTAACGTCGGTTTTTAAAATCGACAGATATATACGCATAAAATTTCAAAAATTTTTAAAAATAAAAGTTGGCTTCCGATTTCAAAAATTCAAGCTGCAGTTTGGAGGTACCCTTTCAACGTGTGACTCACATAAGCTTTGATTCTATTCCTCTACCAATACACGGTTTACAGAAGGTCAAACGTGTAGGTCGAACCACTTTGGCTTCGACATTCCGTGACGTACGACTTTGTACCTAATTTTCTTAATTATAATTCGACTTAACTCCGGATTCGTAGATATATATATATATATATATATATATATATATATATATATATATATATATATATATATATATATATATATATATGCGTGTATATATATATACAAATGCGTATGTATATATATACAAAATATATAGACAAAACTAATGTGACAAGACAGAGCGATTAAATTTATAAAAAGGAAACGTTAAGATTTGTTCAATCATTTCTTTGTTTGCTGTTAGAAAAAGTAAAAAGTTGATGCGTTGCCCCCGCCTGGCGGTGGCTCTTGTTATCTTTAGCAGTTTGGGACTAGTATGCGTGTGATCAAGGTCACTGTTGCTAAAAATGGAAATTCAGTTTCCGCTGCTCAAAAACTTGACTTTTCTTAGGCCTATTGACATCAAAAGTGGTGTATTGGAAGCTTATATCAAGAAGCAGCTTAAAATTGCTACCCAGATGTCTTTGATCAAGGTCAAGGTCATGGTAATTATAAATTAAGTTTTAGGCAATAACTTTAATTTGCTTTGACCTATTGACACTAAAATTAGTATGTGGGTAGCTTATATAAAGACACTTTTCGGGATTCCTACCCATGTGACTATGATTAAGGTCAAGGTCGCTGTTGCTAAAAATAGAAGTTCAGTTTCCACAAAATAACTTGAGTTAGCTGTATTCTATTGACAGCAAATTTGGTGTGTTGGTAGATAAATATATTAAGGCACAACTCATGATTGCTAGATCAATGTCACTGTTGCTAAAAATAGAAATTCAGTCCCCGCATAATAATTTGAGTTTGCTTAGACCTATTGGAACCAAATTTAATATGTGGGTAGCTAATATATCAAGACTCAACTTGGGATTGCTACCCAGGTGTCTGTGAACAATGTGTTTGCTTTGACCTATTGACACCAACCTTGCTGTGTAGGTAGCTTATATTAAGATGCAGCTTGGGATTGCTACTTAGATATGTGGGAGCATTTAGGTCAAGGTCACTTGCTTACAATAGAATTTTCAGCTTCCACTCATTCAGTACACTTTGACCTATTAATACTTAATTTGGCATGAAAATACAGCCTGGCATTGCTACTCAAATTATATTCTGGTATATTTTTATTTTGAACTTTCAGTGTTGGTACAAATAACAGCATCATTTATTCTTCGCTGCCATATTTTATTTCTAATTCCTGTCACATCAATACTTGGTTGTTGAAAACCTTGTTTTTGTCGCATTGCTGTGCTTCTTTTTACTTTCTTTTGACTGAGAGTAAAGTTTATGACATGTACATGTTTAAAAATACATTTATATGTTATTTTTTCAATATAGGTGATGTAGGTGCATGTGTGTCACTGACAAAACTTCATCAGTATGCAACAAGGAAAAAATTTGGAAAACTGAGAACTGAGACAAAAAAAGATCAAAATCCAACCAGTAAAGTGACAGTATTAGTATATATGATAAGACAATCCAGTCAGCCCTGTACAATCAATTGCAGAAATTTGATTGAAAATTCAAACACATTTATTCCTCATGTGTTAGATGTACACCAATATAAAGCATGTGTCTGTTTGGATACAAAGTTGTATTTAATACTTTTCGGAGGTAAGAAAGGACAATTTTTTATCATGTTTAAAATCTTATGTCGAATTTTCTGTATGTATATAGTAAAGATAAGATTTGTATTTAACAATGAAATTTGCTCAGATTTCATTATGCATATTTCATGTAAAAAGCTTTGCAGATAAAAAGAAAATGTGATAAATAATTTTTGTGGCCAAAAATCATGCAAAATGTACTTGGTTATGGATAGTTGATATTTGCACACGTGTTTCATTGTGAAAAAAGTCTATGAATTGTAAATTATTGTTTTTAAGCTCACCTGAGGACAATGTCCTCAAGGTGAGCTTTTGTGATGGCCCATTATCTGTCGTCCATCTTCTGTGCCTCATTAATTTATTTAAACAACATCTCCTCCTAAACCACTTGGCCAAATTTGTTGAAACTTTGCAGGGATGTTCCTTGTTCCAAAGTTGTTAAAAGAATTCAATTCCTTGAAGAACTCTGGTTGCCATGGCAACTGAAAGTTTTTTTTTAAAAAAGAAATCTTTAAAAATCTCTTGTCAAAAACTGCAAGGTGTAGAGCCTTGATATGAGGTATGTAACATGATCTAGTCATCCTCTAAACAGATTGCTCAAATTAATGCCCTAGGGTCAAAAGGGGCCCCTCGAGGGGCCTATCCAGTTCTAATTACGTTATATAGAGAAATCTTTAAAAATCTTATTGTCAAAATCAATAAGGCCTAGAGCCTTGATATTTGGTTTGTAACATGATCAAGTGGTCCTCTACAGAGATTGTTCAAATTATGCCCCTAGGGTCAAAAGGTTGCCTGCCATTGTGTTTACTCGATTAAAAAAAAAAATCTTTAAAAAAATCTCCTTGTCAAAAACCACAAAGCCTACAGCTTTGATATTTGGTATGTAAAATAATCTAGTGGTCCTCTACTGAGAATGTTTAAATTATGCCTGTAGGGTCAAAAGGGGCCCTGCCAGGGGGCTCCTCAGTTTTATATAAAGTTATAATTGGAAATCTTAAAAAATCTTCTTGTGAAAATCCACAAGGCTTAAAGCCTTGATATTTGGTATGTAACAAGATCTAGTCAGCTTCTAAAAAGATTGTTCAAATTATGCCCAAAGTGTCAAAAGGGGGCTCCTCAGTTTTATATAAAGTTATATAGGGAAATTTTAAAAAATCTTCTTGTGAAAATCCACAAGGCGTAGAGCCTTGATATTTGGTATGTAACATGATCTAGTGGTCCTCTACAAAGAGTGTTCAAATTATGTCTCCAGGGTCAAAAGGGGGCTTATTGGTTTTATATAGGGAAATCTTAAAAATCTTCTTGTCCAAATGTACAAGGCTTATAGTCTTGATATGTGGTATGTAGCATCATCTAGTGGTCCTTTACAAAGATTATTCAAATTATGCCCCTAGGGTCAAAAGCGGCCCCTCCAGGAAGTCATCAAGTTTACTTGAGGCCTAGAGCTTTGATTTTGGTATATAACATCATGTAGTGGTCCTTTGTGAAGATTGTTCAAATTATTTCCCTGGGATCAAAAGGGGCCCACCAGGGGCCTAATTAGCTTTATTTAGAGTTATTTATGAAAATCTTAAAAAAATTCTTCTTCTTAAGAATCACACAACTTAGTGCTTTGATCCTTTGTCCTTTGTGAAAATTGTTCAAATTATTCCCCTGGGATCAAAAGGGGCCCACCAGGGGTATGTAAGGCCATCTAGTTATCCTCTAAAAGTAGGGACAAGTAGAGATTTTGATGCTAAAGCATCAAGTCGCCGGATAGATAAATGATTGTTTTATCATAAACATAAGAAAATATCAGTTTAATGGTTCAAGAATAAAGAAAAAAATAAAATTGATTCAGTCAGATCCAGTTACTTGTTCTAGGTTTTTTGACCATAGAGTTCAGAATTTTATAAATACGGTTCTTAAAAGTGATCATAAACCATTAGGTAAAGTGACAGATTATTTTTATAGGGTTGAATTCCAACAACGTGGATCTCCACATATTCATATGATTGTGTGGGTAGAAAATGCTCCAAAATTAAATGTAGACTCAAATGAAGAGATAGCAGCATATGTGGACCAATACTTAAAATGTTCCATTAACAATGAATTTGTAGGGGCCTTGGTAGACATCCAAATCCATAAACATTCAAGAACGTGTAGAAAAAAACAAGATCGTATATGCCGTTTTGGTTATCCATTACCACCTCTGCAAAAAACAATGGTGTTATTTCCACTTGAAAATGACAAGGAGAAATATCTCAAACAATATGAAAAAATTCAGAAAAAAATGAATGATGAGAAACATGGATATAATATGTCTTTTGAGAATTTTTTGTCAGATATTGTACAGATGAATGAGGATGATTATATTAAATGCATTAGAAGTTCATTAAATTCTCCCAAGGTGTTTTTGAAAAGAAATCCAAATGAGATACGTGTAAATTTATACAATGACGTAGTATTGAAAGCATGGAAAGCAAATACTGACATACAATTTGTCTTGGATCCATATGCTTGTGCCATGTATATTGTTTCATATATAAGTAAATCACAACGTGGTATGAGTAATCTTATGTATGCTGCTGCAAAGGAAGCAAGAAATGGCAACCTAGATATAAAAAGGCAAGTAAGACACATTGGAAATGTGTTTTCAAACAGTGTTGAAGTGAGTGCACAGGAAGCTGTCTATCTAGTTTTGCAAATGCCCTTGACCAGAAGTACAAGAGATGTTGTATTCATAAATACGTCTTTACCCAACCAAAGAGTACAATTGTTAAAACCCAAGTCTGATCTTGATGAGTTGCCTGCAGACTCGACTGATGTCATGTCAGATAATGTGATAAAAAGATATTCAAAACGTCCAAAGGCTCTAGATAACTATTGCTTAGCTGATTATGTGTCACAATTAGAAGTGGTTTACCCAGATGATAAAAAAAATATAGGTAATTCAGAACAAAATGATGATGAAAATTTTGCTGGAATGTCAGATGATGAATATTTTGATGATTGCCAAAACATTAGTATACTGAAAAGTGGTATAAAAATCAGAAGACGCCGTAATTCAAAAATCATAAGGTATGTAAGATTTAATAAAAAAACAGATGAAGAAAACTATTATAGAGAAAAACTACTTCTTTTTTATCCATGGAGAAATGAAGAAAAAGATTTACTTGGACATTTTGCAACATACAAAGAACAGTATGAATCAGTCCAAAATGCTGTAAATGAAAAATGTGCATGTTATGAACATCATGTTGATGAGTTAGAATTAGCAAGAAATATGGCTGAAGCAGAATATAATGCATATGATGAAATTGCTCCTGGAACTCAGGAAGAAGAAGCAGAAACTGCTGAAGAAGAACCAGTAGAGTCAGAAACATTTATATATTTCAATCCTGACAGAGTTAGTGAACAAAGAGAATATGATATTGGCATAGAAATTGGATGTTCCATTTCATCTGCGCAAATCAGTTCTAATGAAAATATGTTACCAGATGAAGAGTACAGAGCTCTTCTGCGTTCATTGAACTCAAAACAGAAAGAGTTTTACAATCATGTTGTTCACTGGATAAAAACAAAAGATGCACCTTTATATACATTTCTTTCTGGTGGTGCTGGTGTTGGTAAAAGTGTTGTTATAAGAGCATTGTATCAAACACTATATAGAATGCTTAATTTGAAAGAAGGGGAAAATACTGATGATATAAGGGTACTCTTGTGTGCATATACTGGAAAAGCAGCTTTCAATATAAACGGCTCTACTATTTCGTCCGCATTTAAGCAGAAATATAAACAGTCTGACCAAACATTAACATGTGACAGCTTAAATACATTCAGATCCAAATATCGAGATTTATCTGTTGTCATAATTGATGAAATTTCAATGGTTAGTAATACTATGATGAGTTTCATAAATCAGAGACTTCAAGAATTAAAAGGTACTCGCAAACCATTTGGAGGTGTAAGCATTATAGCAGTGGGAGATTTATTCCAATTAAAACCTATAAATGGTGGTTGGATATTTAATGATTTAAGTCATGATGCTGCATCTTTGTCCATGAACTTATGGAAAGAACTGTTTGTTATGTATGAGTTGTCAGAAGTAATGAGACAAAAGGATGATTTACCATTTGCAGACTTATTAAACAGGCTGAGAATTAACTCACTGACAACAGAAGATAAAATGGTCCTTAAAGGTTGTGAAGTTGAATCCAGTGCTAAGAATTATCAAGTTAACTCCCCACATCTATTTGCTGAAAATTATTACATGCATATTTTCAATGACACACTTCTAAACAGTTCAAACAATCAAAAAGTATCCATTCTTTGTCATGATTCTGTTGTTTCACCAAAATTATCAAAGGATAAACAAGAAGAGGCTATCAAAAGATTGCCCACTGATCCAAACAGAACTGCTAATCTTCATTGTTCATTGGATATTGTTGTAGGAATGTTGTATGATTTAACAGTCAATACAAATACTGAAGATGGCCTTGCAAATGGTGCGTCATGTGTTGTAAAGTTCATAGAGTATAAACTGAAGGAAACACAACGTCCTAGTATCATATGGGTACAATTTGTGGATTTGAAAGCTGGTTGTGGAACTAGATTAAAATATAAAAATCGAGGCTTTTATCACACACAAATAAATGAAAATTGGACACCAACATTTGATATCACAAGGACCTTCACATATAACAAAAAAACTTTTGAAAGAATCCAGTTTCCATTACAACCTTCTGCTGGGAGATCAGTTCATAGAGCACAAGGAACAACACTTGATAGTGTCGTGATTGACCTATCCCAAAGAAAAACACGAAAAGTTCCTCACCTTCATTATGTTGCATTAAGTAGAGTAAGGTCTTTAGAAAAGCTTCAAATTCTCAATTTTAATGAGCAGGCTTTACAAGTTGATGAACAAGTTAAAACAGAAATGAAGAGATTGCTTAAAGATGCTTCTCTAGAATTGTGTTATGTTCCCTTGGAATCTATACATGTATTTTCAAATATGGATTTTAAAATTGCATTCAACAATTGTAGGTCATTAAACAAGCATTTCATTGATGTGAAACATGACCAGGGATTGTTGTCTTGTGATATTATTGGATTGGCAGAAACTAGATTACATGAAAATGATAATGATTCTTCCTATCAGATACAGGGATACCATTTAATACGCAATGACCAATGTACTACATCAACATCTGAAAGACCTCCGCATGGGTTACTTATTTATGTCAAAGATGATGTATTAATAAAATCTGCAGACATATTTAGCTCCCAGAATTTTGAATTTGTTCTTCTGAATGTTGCAAGAGAATTAAATGAAATGCAAGTTGTAGTATTGTATAAATCACCAAAAATGTCTGATTCTGCTTTTCGCACTGTGCTGACAGAGAAACTCATTCCACATTTGGTACCTCATAAGCCTTTGGTTATTCTAGGTGATTTTAATATTGATGTTTTAAAATATCATAGGGGTGTTTTGCAGTATTTGTATGATAAGCTTAACTGTAGATTACGTCTTAATGAACCTACAACTGATAATCTATCAGCATTAGACTTGATAATAACAAATATTGATGCCACTGTGGGTACAGTAGAAACTTACTGGTCAGATCACAAGATTATCTACTGCTGTACTGAAAGAATCTCTACACAATAAAATCCGGTGCGAGCAAAATATTTACCCTCTTAAGAATTAAAGATATGTAATGTTATAGTTTAAATTTTAAACCTTCACCTTATAACCTACTTCCAGTCAGAAGATGTATTCAGGGCCATCATGACCCTCTTGTTTAATTTTGATTTGCCACATGAACACACATAACCATTTGTCAACATATTATGACAACAAGAACTAGTGCAGATTTCAAACTACGCTTTTCATCCGGCGTCCGTCCGTAAACTTTTACTTTAAACGACATCTCCTCATAAACCACTAAGCCAATTTCATCCAAACTTCGCAGGAATGTTCCTTTGGTGGTCACCTTTGAAAATTGTTCAAAGAATTTAATTCCATGCAGAACTCTGGTTGCCATGGCAACCAAAAGAAAAAACTTTAATAAGCATGAAACATGTTCTAGTGAGTGTCTACCATGTTTGTTCAAATAAAATACCTGGGGTCAAAATTGGCCCCACCCCGGGGGTCACTCCTTTTCCTTATATGTGTATTACAAAAACTTAAAAAAATCTTCTTTGAAAAAACTCAAATAGCTAGAGTTTAGATATTAGGCATGAAGCATCTTCTAGTGAGTGTTTACAAAGTTTGTTCATATAAAAGCCCTGGGGTCAAAATTGGCCCGCCCCGGGGGACATTGATTTTCCTAATATGTGTATAGCAAAAACTTAAAAATCTTCTTTGAAAAAACCCAAATAGCTAGAGTTTAGATATTAAGCATGAAATATGTTCTAGTATGTCTCTACAAAGATTGTTCAAATAAAAGCCCTTGGGTCTAAACTGGCCCTGCCCCAGGTGTGTCATTGTTTTTAACTATATGTGTAAAGAAAAAAACTTGACCATGCAGCTAGACCTTAGATGTTAAGCATGAAATATCTTCTAATGGGTGTCTACCAAGTTTTTTTTCAAATAAAAGCCCTTGGGTTTAAACTGGCCCTGCTCCGGGGGCTTATATACAGGTGAGCGACTTCAGGGCCATCATGGCCCTCTTGTTTAAAATAAAATACCATACATGTACAGAAGATTGAAGTGTCAAAAGTCATGCTGTGTATTGGTGTTTTAAAATAGTACCCTGCTGATAAGAGAGCCCCTCAGGGTAAATAACAAAAGGCAGATGATAAATATAAGTAGGCAATGTAAATTCTGTATTTTCTGGATGTTGGTGCAAATAAATTTCATTACAAGTAGTACAAAAAAGAAAACTGAAATATTTTTGCATTTTATAATAAACTCATAAAAATAATAATGTTGCATAAATATGTTACAATGAATAAAAAAAGAAAAAAGATTGGTGTCGTCTCAAAAAATGGAATTGAAAGTTTTCTAATCTTTTTGTTAATAATCCATGTCGGTTAAAGTATATTAGTGTCCCACAGGTACATATCAATACTTAATTTACCACCATTATAATTTATATAAATATTTATTTTTAGAATAATATATATCATTTATATTAATCTTTGGTAAATCTCAGTTTCAGAAGGTAAGAGAGTTTATAAATAAGATAAAATTGACAAAATTTAGGTCAACTATTAACATATTAATTCTTTAATGTATTAAAGGCTATTAATGCTTAAAATCATAACCTTTAACTAAAACAACAATAACTTAAGATAAAAAATTACAAATTTGTATAATTTGCCCCAACCCCCACCAAAACAAAACAAAACAAAAACAAAAAAAACTTAATTTTGTTTAAAAAGCTTTCCAATGTTTCATATTTCATTACCAGATTATGATAAAATAGAATTATATTAATTATAAATTAATTTTGTTTATTTATGCACTTATCAACATTAAATTTATAATTATTTATATTTACTTATTCTAACAATTAAGTTTTAAAATCAGTAAAATTAATGACTTTGAAAAATTATTGTTCTAATATATACTGCCATATTTTACAAAATCCAATATTCACAACTTCAAATTTATTATGAAAAACTTTTATACAGATATCTATATTTATCTATCTTTTTGTAAAAGTCAAATTTGTTTGAAACAGTGAAATTACCACTTTGATAATTTTACTGTTTTGAATTTAAGCCCCTTACGTTGTTTCAGTGAAATACCAGCGTGCACAGTACTGGGTACCAACGTAATGATGTGATGTCGTAAATGACGTCACATTGTATTATCATTTGGCGCGTTTTTCACTCAGTATTTGGTTAAATGTCTTTTTAAAACGTTTCTTTGCATGTAATAAAAAGAAAATTTGTTTAGTTTAGTGTAAAATCGAAATATATATCACCTTGTGAACACCAAAAAATTCATATTTCACTCGTGGCTGTGCCACTCGTGAAATACATATAGCTTTTATTTTGGTGCTCACTCGGTGAAATATATTCCGATCTTACACTGAACTAAACAAATATCCTCTATATATTTCAATAATGTGCCTCTTAAGCAGAAAATTATTTAGTCATGTTCAACCTAAACTAAACTATTGAACGTTCTTGTCAAAAGTTTGACAGAACGGGCCAAGTTTAACCCTTTACCAAGAAAAAGGAAAAAGTTTTGAAAATCTATTTTTAATGTGTAAAATATTAGGTTTTCTAATGATGTAAAATATGAAACTGATTAATGAAAAATAACTTTGTAATTCTTTATACAAAATTACAATGATTTGCATCTTATCAGCTGCCATACCTTTTGCCAACCATTAACAAGTTACCTGTTTGTCTTATCAGCAATCTGTTACTATTAATAGATTTTATAATGATAACATACAATGTGTAGTCACATGATTCTTACAAACGAACAGGGAGAATCTGTTTATAATTAAATAAAATAATGAAATAGAATAGGTCTAATAAAATTTAAACAACCAAATAATTTAAAAGTGTCATTTCAAATATCATTCATGATTTATATATCATAAAATAGCAACGCTTGACACATAGAAAAAAGTAAAAGTATCCCTAAATATAATGACTGATCCTTAGGGATACATTATTGATTCATTTTATGAAAATTGTTATGTTGCTTTTTAAGATGTCAATATGTGTATATTTCATTTCATTGAGCAAAGTTATTTTATGTTTTAATTTTTGAGATTATGAAACATAATTGTGGTCTTAAATTGTTTAATAATTGACATGCTTTTATTTTCAGATTTTAAGGGCTTCTCCTACCATAGGTATAATATTAAACTGATACAAATATAGTCGCCGGTTTCTACCGGCGACTAATAAACCATTTAAACAACATCTAAACCACTGGTTCAATTTTGAAATAATTTAACACAAAAAATTCTTTGGTGACGTCATAGTGTACAAAATTGTTTAGATTAAGCTGACCCTTGTTTTCTGATTGTGCTTCTGGGGTGGAAAGAGGCTCCACTGTGACCTTTTGACCTATTTGTCAGGTGAGCAATCCAGGGCCCTCTGGGCCCTCTTGTCATGATTTGGTGATGTCACTTTCAATTTGTGTCGTGTGTAGCTCAAAATGTATTTAACCTAGTCCTGAAACTTAAGAGGAATGTTGGTCAGCATATGTAATTGTGCACCTTGGATTTCGCTTGTGGATTTATTGCCATTGACTTACTTAAAATGGTAACCGTTTCATTATGATGTATTATTTGTTCCTTGAGTGCTTGAGTCAGAATCAATCACTTTTGCAGGAATAATGATCAACATCACTGTGAAGCTATGCACCTGGGATTTTGCATATGGATTTTTATGCTCCCCAAAGGGTGAGCATATAGTTGCCGCTTTGTCTGTCCGTCCAGCCATCCGTCTGTACGCTTTTCTTGTCCGGGACATAACTTTGAAACAACAAGAGGTATTAACATGAAACTTTGTAGGTAGATAGATCTCAATGAGTAGGTGTGCAGTGCACAAGAACCTGAACTCTGCCTTGCCTAATTTTTGAATTATTGCCCTTTGCTTATTTTTACACTTTACACATTACTCTAAAATTAATAGAGATATCAACATGAAACTTTGTAGGTAGATAGATCTCATTCGATAGATTTGCAATGCTAAAGAACCTAAACACAGCCTTGTCTAATTTTGGAGTTATTGCCCTTTGTTCATTTTTACACTTTGAATTTTACTGGGACATAACTCTGAAACTATAAGAGATATCATCACGAAACTTTATAGATAGATAGATCTCATTCAATAGAAGTACATTGCAAAAAAAAACATAACTCTGCCTTGCCTAATTTTGGAGTTTTTGCCATTTGTTCAATTTTTTATACTTTCCTGTGTCCAAAACCTTTTCGGGGAGCATCACCCTGTTCAACCAGTTCTTGTTTTCAGTTTTGTTATTGCCCTTGACTTGACTATAAATTTGCAATTTTCAACTTGTTCATGCATAGCTCAAAAAGTATTTGACCTGTAGGCCTGAAAGTTTACAAGAATGTTACTCAGCATGTGTACTTATGCACCTTGGGTTTTGCTTGTGAATTTATTCAGTATTTCCTTTACTTAGTAAAAGATTTTTAGTTTTCAATTTGTGGCACATGTAGTCCAAAAAATATTTGACCTAGAGTCATAAAATTGGCAAAATAGTTGAGTGTGGGGGCACCGGTGTCCTATGGACACATTTTTAGTTAATTTATATTTTTTTATTGAGTATGATTTTACTTCAGACTAGCAGCTTTATATCTTAATAATTTTTCCATATTTTCAGGTGATGAAGATAATGAATGTGCTTGTCATTGCAATAAATGCTTTTCAAAAGATACACAGAAAGGCTGTGAATATAATTGCGGGAGCAAGAATAGAGTCAGTTGTGGAAAAGTATTGTCTTTATATCCTAAAACAAGTCTACCTGATTCAATAATAGTTTCTAAAACACAGAAAAAGTATGCAAAGATTTCATTTGTCATTGTCATGGTCCTTTGTCTATTGATAGTTTTTTTCATTGTTCAATGGAAAAAGATTAAAACATGGAAGTGGTCATTTATTAAAAAGGAAAACCTAATGATATTAAATAAAAGTGAAATTCAAAATACAAGTGAAATTCTAAATGAAGATGTAATTCAAATCAAAATTCAAAATAAAGGAGAAATTGAAAGAGAATTTCAAAATGAAGGTGTAATTCAAAGAGAAATTCGTAATAAAGGAGAAATTCAAAGAGCAATTCAAGATGAAGGTGAAATTCAAAGAGCAATTCAAGATGAATGTGTAATTCAAAGAGCAATTCAAAATGAATGTGTAATTCAAAGAGCAGTTCAAAATGAAGGTGAAATTCAAAGAGCAATTCAAGATGAAGGTGAAATTCAAAGAGCAGTTCAAAATGAAGGTGAAATTCAAAATGAGGGTTATAGTGAAAAAAAAGTTGACAAAAAGGACACTTGGCTACTTAATAAAGGTATGTTTAGTTCCAGCTTGGTTATTTTAAACATGTCATTGGGGTCATAATAACTGGCTTAGTTATCTCCATGTCATGAGATAAAGTAAAGTTATGCATTCATACCAAGAAAATAAATAAGAATTAATAAGAATTCTAATTATTATCTTTGAATTTATGATGATATAATATATATCAAGAAAATATTAAAGGGACTCCACTGAGGTTTTTTGACATGATGGGACTGAAAATATTTTTTCCAGATAGGTTTAGACCACTAATCTTTGTGCAAAATTTCAGATCATTTGCGCACTTCGTTATTCCAGAATGATTATTCAAATTGTAAAAAAAATGACCCAAAATGGAAAGCGTTTAAATGCTTTTCACTCAAAATGGGCTAAGAAAAAGCATGAAAACACGATTTTCAATTTATTTCAAAGTATATTTCTCAACTATCTTTGCATTTATATTTCTATTAAAGTACCCCAGCTCATTTATGTAATAAATACAAATGTTATGTTTCTAGGATTTTAAACCTCAGTGGAGTCCCTTTAATATCAATAAAAAGTAAAAATATGTAAATCTTTTTTACTGCAAGCGACTACAAATAAGGACAATATATATATATATAGCATGAAAATCTCAATTGATATGAACTGATACCTAGGATACTATAGGGGCTTCTTCTTAGATATTTGGTATGTCAGGTGGACCTGCACAAAAATTGTTCAAATTACAGCCATTGGATCAAAATTGGCCCCACTCCAGGGGAACCCAGGTTTCCTTCTTATGCATATACATTTGTAGTAAAAACTTAAAAAGAAATTCATCTTTAAAACTACAAGAGCTAAAGCTTAGTTTTTTATACATGAAACATTATCTAGTAAACCTATACTAAATTTGTTCAGAATATAGTCCTTGGGTCAAAATTGGCCCAGTCCCAGGGGTGATTGATTTTTTATTTATGTATATAGTAAAAAAAAAATCTTCTTTTATTATACTACAGATGTTTGATATGAAACATTGTCTTGAGGACCTCTACAAAAGTTGTTCAAATTATAGCCCTAAATCTACAAGAACAAAAGCTTAGTTTCCATAGCAACCAGTGACTTCATATTTAGATTTACCCTTGACTTAATAAAGATGTCCAATTTTCAATTTGTGTTACACTAACTCAAAAAGTAATTGACCTAGAGTCATGAAACTTTATAGGAATGTTGGTCATTATGTTTAGTTACAGTTGTGGATTTATTCAGTATTTCTAGTTATTGCCCTTAAATTAGTAAAAATTTGCAATTTTCAACTTGTGTATTTGAAAAGTATTTGACCTAGAGTCCTGAAACTTTACAGAAATGTTGGTTTGGCATATGTTGTTGTGCACCTGGGGGGTTGACTGTGGATTTATTTAGTATTTGTAGAGTATTTGCCCTTGACTTAGTTAAAACCATTAAAAATGTCATGTTATTTGTACCTTGAGTGCTTGATTTAGAATCAACCAACTTTATAGGAATGGTGATCAACTTCACTGTGAATCTGTGCATGTGGAAATTTAGCTCACCTGTCACAAAGTTACTTTTACTTTAAACGACATCTCCTCATAAACGGCCAAGCCAATTTCATCAAAACTTCACAGGAATGTTCCTTTGGTAGTGAACTTTAAAAATTGTTCAAAGAATTTCATTACAGAACTCCGGTTGCCATGGCAACCAAAAGAAAAAATTAAAAAAATTGAAAGAGCTAGAGCTTAAGTATTTGGCATAAAACATCATCTAGTCAGAGTCTACCAAGTTTGTTCAAATAATAGTCCTGGAGTCAAAATTGGCCCTGCCCCGAGGGGTCATCGTTTTTCCTTATTTGTATATAGTATAAACTTAAAAAATCCTTAAAAAAACCCAAATAGCTAGAGCTTAGATTTTAGGCATGAAACATCTTCTGGTGGGTGTCTACCAAGTTTGTTCAAATAAAAGCCCTAGGGTCAAAATTGGCCCCACCCTAGGGGGACATTCTTTTTCTCTTAATGTATATAGTAAAAACTTAAAAAATCTTCTTTTAAAGACCCAATGAGCTGGAGCTTAGATATTGAGCATGAAACATCTTCTAATAGGTGTCTACCAAGTTTGTTCAAATAAGGGCCCTGGGGTTAAAATTGGCCCCACTCTGGGGGTCATTGATTTTACTTATGTGTATAGTAAAAACTAAAAAAATCTTCTTTTAAAAACCCAAAGAGCATGAAATATCGTCTAGTGAGTGTCTACCAAGTTTGTTAAAATAAAATCCCTGGGGTCAAAATTAAATCCGCCCGGGAGGGGGGATCATTGTTTTCCCCTATATGTGTATAGTAAAAAACTTAAAAAATATCCTTTTAAAAATTCCAAAGCGCTAGAGCTAAGATCTTTATCATGAAACATCTTCTAATGGGTGTCTACCAAAATTGTTTAAATAAAAGCCCTTTGGTTAAAATTGGCCCTACCCCAGGGGCCTTTTAAGCAATTTCAGGGCCATCATGGCCCTCTTGTTTTCAGTTTTGTTAGAGTTATTGCCCTTGACTTAATATAAATTATAGACTTGTTCATGTATAGCAAAAAGTTTGACCTGCAGTCATGAAAGTATACAAGAAGGTTGGTCAGCATGTGTAGTTATGCACCTTTGGGTTTGCTTGTGGATTTATTCAGTATTTGTAGAGTTTTTGTCATTGACTTGGTAAAAGATTTTCAGTTTTCAAGCTTGTGTCATGTTTAGCCCAAAAAATATTTGACCTAGAGTCAGAAGATTGACAGGTCAGCGGAGTGTGGGGGCACCCCTGTCCTATGGACACATTTCTAGTTATTTTTAGCTCAAATTTTTTTCTTTTTTTTTTTAAAAAAAAACTAAGAGGTATTGTTACAGTCCTGGCGGTGTTGTTGCCATTGCCGTTGCCATCCACAAACTTGTACCTGGATCATAACTTTTTTAGTTCTTGGTTATTGTCTTCATACTTGGCCACAACAACCCTTGGGACAAGAACTTACAGTAGACCACACTAACCTTGACCTTCATCCATAAATGACCTTGACCTTCTAGGTCAACAGTCCAAATTTTGCTTGTTCTTGCTATTATTGTCTGTAACTTTGTTATTTTTGAATGGATTGTCTTCAAACTTGAACATAATAATCTTCAAGGATAGCCCTTTAAAATAACCAGACAGACCTGGACCTTCACTCAAAAATGACCTTGACTTTGAAGGTCAAATTATTAAAATTTTCATATTTTTGGCTTTTATTGGCTATAACTTTGTTATTTTTGAATGGATTGTCTTCAAACTTGAGCATAATAATCTTCAAGGACAGCCCTTTAAAGTAATCAGACAGACATTGACCTTCACTCATAAATGACCTTGAAGGTCAAATTATTGAAATTTTCAGTTTTTGGCTATTTTTGGCTGTCACTTTGTTATTTTTGAATGGATTGTCTTCAAACTTGAACATAAAAATCTTCAAAGATAGCCTTTTTAGCTCACCTGAGCTTGCTCAGGGTGAGCTTTTATGATCGGTGAATGTCCGTCGTCCGTCCGTCCGTCCGTCGTCCGTCGTACGTCCACAATTGCTTGTGAACACTCTAGTGGTCGCATTTTTGCCTCAATCATCATCAAACTTGGTCAGGATGCTTATCTAGTTGAAAGCTCAGATGAGTTCGAACATGGCTCATCTCGGATGAAAAACTAGGTCACAAGAGCTAAAAATAGAAAAACCTTGTGAACACTCTAGAGGTCACATTTTTGACCCAATCATCAAACTTGGTCAGGATGTTTGTCTAGGTGATAGCTCGGATGAGTTCGAACATGGGTCATCCCGGATGAAAAAGTAGGTCACCAGAGCTAAAAATAGAAAAACCTTGTGAACACTCTAGTGGTCACATTTTTGAACCAATCTTCATCAAACTTGGTCAGATTGATTGTCTAGTCAATTGCTTGGATGAGTTCGAACATGGGTCATCTCGGATGAAAAACAAGGTCACCAGAGCTATAAATAGAAAAACCTTGTTAACACTCTAGCGGTCACATTTTTGCATCAATCATCAACAAACATGGTCAGGATGCTTATCTTGTTGATAGCTTGGATGAGTTCGAATATGGATCATCTCGGATGAAAAAGTAGGTCACCGGAGCTAAAAATAGAAAAACCTTGTTAACACTCTAGCGGTCACATTTTTGCATCAATCATCATCAAACTTGGTCAAGATGCTTGTCTAGGTGATAGCTCGGATGAGTTTGAACATGGGTCATCTCTGATGAAAAAGTAGGTCACCGGAGCTAAAAATAAAAAAAACCTTGTTAACACTCTAGTGGTCACATTTTTGCATCAGTTATCATCAAAATTTGTCAAGATGTTTGTCTAGGTGATAGCTCGGATGAGTTTGAACATGGGTCATCTCGGATGAAAAAGTAGGTCACCGGAGCTAAAAATAGAAAAACCTTGTTAACACTCTAGCCGTCACATTTTTGCATCAATCATCATCAAACTTGATCAAGATGTTTGTCTAGGTGATAGCTCGGATGAGTTCGAACATGGGTCATCTCGGATGAAAAAGTAGGTCACCAGAGCTAAAAATAGAAAAACCTTGTTAACACTCTAGTGGTCACAATTTTGACTCAATTGTCATTAAACTTGGTCAGGAAACTTGTCTAGGTCATTGCTGGGAATAAATCGAACATGGGTCATAACGGATGAAAAACTAGGTCACAGGAGCTAAAAATAGAAAAATCTTGTTAACACTCTAGTGGCTACTGTTGTGATCCAAATATTCTGTTAATTGGTCTGAAAGTTTGTTTTGATGATTTCTAAGTCAAGATCGAACATAGGTCATAATGGATGAAAAACTAGGTCACACTGCCCAAATATGGAAAAACCTTGTTAACATTCTAGTGGTCACATTTTCGACTCAATTATCATCAAACTTGGTCAGGATGTTTGTCTAGGTAATTGCTTGGATTTGTTCGAAATCACATGTGAAACTAGGTCACCGGAGCTAAAAATAGAAAAATCTTGTTAACACTCTAGTTGCTACTGTTTTGATCCAAGTATCTTGGAAATTGGTCTGAAAGTTTGTTTTGATGATTTCTAGGTCAAGTTTGAATATGTGTCACCTGGGTAAAAAACTAGGTCGCACTGCTCAAATATGGATAATCCTTGTTAATACTGTAGTGGTCACATTTTTGACTCACCTGTCATGAGACTTTGTCAGAATGCTTGTCTAGGTAATTGTTTGGATGAGTTAGATAAGTCAGGTGAGCGATCTAGGGCCATCATGGCCCTCTTGTTAAATAACCAGACAGACCTTGACCAGTACACACGTATTGAGATTTTGTGCTCGATTGTGTGCACATTATACATGTAATACACCCCTGATGAAGGCATAATACGCCGAAAGTACTTGGGTATTTATACTTTAGCACTGTATGAACGTTTATTTTCTCCAAAGTTATTGTTATTTTTTCCACGTTCTTGTATCCTTCTTGGGATCCAGTGTTTTTGAAAGGTATTTTGTAGATGCAAATATTTTTCACAAACCTATATATATATATATATACATGTATATATATATATATATATATAAATGTATGTATGCGTATATAAATAAATGCGTATATATATGTGTATATATATTACAGTGTTCAATCTAGAGCGCGCCATAGCGCCATTGGCCCCCTAAAATGACTGCCGGCGCAAAACAAATTTAACTGTGGGCCCGATGGGCGCATTCGCTTAGAAAATACTCTTAGGGTAAATGCAAAAAAATCAAAGTCGTCTGATAAAGAGTCGACGAAAAATGTTGATAGTGGTCCATGTATATCTCAGTCAACTTCAACTAATGAGCGACACATGTCTTCTTCTGACCATCAGAATGCCATTATTGACCAACGTGATCAGTCAGTTTTTAGCTCACCTGTCACAAAGTGATAGGGTGAGCTTTTTGATCGCTTTTTGTCCGGCGTCTGTCCGTCCGTCCGACCGTCCGTCGTCCGTAAAAAATCTTCTTTGAAAAAACCCAAATAGCTAGAGTTTAGATACTAAGCATGAAACATCTTCCAGTTAGTGTCTTCAAAGTTTGTTCAAATAAAAGCCCTAGGGTCAAAATTGGCCCTGCCCAGGGGGACATTAATTTTCCCTATATGTGTATAGCAAAAACTTAAAAATCTTCTTTGAAAAAAAAACCAATAGCTAGAGTTTAGATATTAAGCATGAAACATCTTCTAGTGAGTGTCTTCAAAGTTTGTTCAACTAAAAGCCCTGGGGTCAAAACTGGCCCCGCCCTAGGGGTGTCATTGCTTTTAACTAAATGTGTATAGTTAAAACTTAAAAAAAAATTAAAAAAAAAACTCAAAAAGCTAGACCTTAGATGTTTAGCATGAAACATCTTCTAATGGGTGTCTACCTAGTTTGTTCAAATAAAAGCCCTGGGGATTAAACTGGCCCCGCTCTGGGGGGCCTATATACAGATGAGCAACTTCAGGGCCATCATGGCCCTCTTGTTCAAGCATCTTTTTAGTTCTGGCTTCCATAACATTATATGTCCCTTTTATTTTGACGTTTGCGACAGTAAAGTTATGGGTCAACCCTATTTGCAAAGGCTACCAAATCAAATAAAAATACTGTTTAACAAACAAATCAATTTTGAATCAATTCATGTTTTGTTTTTAAATGAAACTTCAATAACATTGTGTACCCAACTATTTGTTAGGGAAATATGTAGAGAATGTTTACCAATATGGAGTCTGCTTTCAAAAGAAATCTCGCGGGACTTCAAGTTTTGCGAATTCTAGCATCTATTTTTAGTACGGGACCATACACTATTTTTAGTAAGTGTATGATTTTGAATTGAAACAAACAAATAATACATGAATCATCACTCAAAACAATATAAATCCAACATGTTTTTGGTACAATGTCTTGAATAAATACACCGTTATTCATAATTGCAAAGCCATGTTTTCAATTAAAGATCATAGCATTTGGGTCACGGGTCACCATGTCATGCAAAGGTATCCAAACCTAAATTCACGCTAGTCACATGATAATTAGGGCAGCAATGGCGGCGAATTTTATGAAATGTGAACCCACTGATAAACTTTGAGGCATTATTTCATCAATCTAATGTTCTGTGTTCAAAAATATAGACTGAAGTGTTCCAAATATATCTAACTACCTGTATTAAAATAGCTTTTTCCAGATCACGCACATTTATTGAATTACAGCATGACATAAATATGTCACGGTTCTGGTTGACTTTCAATACGGGATTGGCTTCAGCAAACAGGTCTAACAGTACTATAAAACCTGTTCGCTGAAGTCTTAGCTAGCATCTTTTCAGTCTGCATTTGACAAAAAGAAAAGCTCAATTATCAGTGCTTTGCGTACAGTTAACTGGATGTGTAAAAAAAAAATTGCAACATTGAAGAACAGTTCTCTTTTAAGACTTTTAAAACTACAAGGTTGCCCAGATATTTTGACTTTGCATTCTGGAGAAAATGCCACCTATGAGTCCGAGAGTGCTGCTGAAGAATTTCAAGATGCTTTAAATCATGTTATAGAAAATGATATGAAACAGAAACTAGCTTCAGCCCGCGCCATTTCTCTAATGTGTGATGAGAGTGATGATGTTTCTGTTCAGAAAAAGTTGGTCATATTTGCTAGGTTTATTCCTGAATGCACTGACTTTCAGCCTGAAACTCATTTTATTGAGAATTTTACTATTGCTAAGGGTGATGCTGAAACTGTGTACCAATCATTGAAATCTGTGGTAAGTGAAAAGGATATGGATGTCAGTAATGTAATGTTTTTTGGCTGAGATGGAGCGGCAGTTATGACTGGTAAAAAGTCTGGTGTTAGTGCTAGGCTTTCAAGTGATCAGCCACTTATTGTTAACATTCACTGTATGGCACACAAGCTAGCTTTATGCACAAGTCAAGCAGCAGAGAGTATTCCATATCTAAAAAAGTACAAGGAAATTTTGACAAATATTTTCTACCATTTTAAACATTCCTCACTGAGAACTGCAAATCTGTCTAAAATTGAAAATGTTTTGAATGACAAATAGCTAAAAATCAAGGAAATTCACAGTGTACGCTGGTTTGCATTTTATTCAGCCCTTGAGGCAATATTTCACACATGGGGTTCCTTAGTTACTTATTTTGAGCAAGAAAAGCAAGCTGAGAAAGGTGGAACTGCAAAAGGGATTCATTCTCAGCTAACCCAGTTTGAATTTGTGGGTGTAACTTACCTTTTAATAGACATAATGCCAATACTTACCAAACTGAGTCTCAGCTTTCAGAAACAAGACATTGATATTTCTTTAGTACAACCACTTATTCAGTCAACTGTCTCACACCTTGAACACTTAAAGCAGAATAATGGTCACTACATGCAACTGTTTAACACTGCATTGACTGAGAATGGACTTGACTTGAGAGATCACATCATCTCAGTAAGCAAAAACTAGCAAACACATTTGAGTAACATAAGAAGTGACTTTATTCAGAAAATAGTTGCACAGCTAAATGTTAGGTTTCCACGGCAAGATACAACAGTAAAAAGTGCTCTGCCAGTCCTTGGTTTGAGAGGTATATCCTTTGTGCAGAATATTCCTGGAAAGGATGAAATTGATAAACTATGTGATTTCTATGGTTCAAGTAATAATGACACAGACAGTGCACCTTACATTGATAGTAACAAACTAAGAATTGAGTGGGAAATTTTAAAACATCTTGTAATTCAACAAAGGTATCCTACTGACAGTATCTATAATTTGTGGAAATTGATTTTTTATGTATCACAAGGAGATGTTTCCAAATCTTTTAAAACTTGCTGAGCTTGCTCTTATTGCACCCTTACAAACTGCTGACTGTGAAAGGGAGTTTTCTACCCAGAATGATATTAAATCATCAGACAGAAATAGATTGTCCTCTAACAGACTGAATAAATTAATGAGGATATCTCTGCACAAAGTTGACATGGCTGATTTTGATTTTGATAAAGCTGTAGATGCATGGCTATCAGTGAAAAATAGGAGAGCTTTCTCCAGTACAAGTACCTCACTGAAAAACATAGTTTCCAAAGAAAATGTCTTTGCCTGTTATGACATTCACTTATTCATAGTTTACACAGTTTATGTAAAGTTTGAACTGTTAAGATTTAATGCAGAGTGAAATTTAAATTGACTGTTTAAAGCATACCTGATATTGTACATGTACAGTATGAGTAATTAAATCACTGTTGTTTTAAATTTTTACCTAATGTATATCTGTTGCATAAACAATCCACCTAGAAAGTTAAAAGGCAATACTTTATTTGAATTTGATGGTCATTTTAAGTATGGGCCCCCAATTTTCTCAAATGACCCCCTTTTTATAAGTTTATGGGCCCAAAGGGCCCCCTTAATGGAATTCATTCTAGATTGAACACTGTATATATATATATATTATTATTTTCCATTAAACTTTCAAATACAGGATGGGAAATGATAAAAAGTGTTGAAGTCTTCTGTGGCAATGCAACTACAATTCAAGAACCTGTGCCAGCAAGATTGCTTGGAATGACAAAGCAAGAAACCAATAACACTGCAAGATTTATCAGTCCTTTGAAGAGTGTTGAAATAGATACAAGTCCTCATTTTTGTCTACTTTGCAAAGGTATCATTAACTTCACTCTTAACATTTAGATCTACTTAATTAGTGACCTGGCTAGCTCAGACTTAAATACTGAAGTCTGTCAGATGATAAATCAGCTGGTTTGACACAAAAAGAAATTAAAAAAAAATGTTTTCATGATTTCCTTTTTAGTCCTGTGGTGCACTGGCGACAATACAAATTGATGGATTAATGGCATCAGTATTTTATACAGTTGATTAATTGTTCAAAAAGATGTACTTTTATGTCTGTAATAATGAACATAGTGCCCCCTTGCAGGATTCCAACACTGCACTAAAATTAACACAATAGTAATTGTCTTTAACCTATAGGTCTCAATTGTTTTGAAGTTGGCATCTCTATCATTATACCCCCAAAAATGAAGTTTGGGGGGGGTATATAGGAGTCACCCGGTGGTCGGTTGGTTGGTTGGGCGGTTGGTCGGTCGAGACGCCTTTGCATTTTCCTTGTCTGGAGCATAACTTGAAGACTAATGGTTGGAATTCAATATAACTACATACAATGGTCAAGCACATTGAGAGGAAGTGCAGTGTACAAGAACCATAACTATATCTTGACTAATTACAGAGTTATTGCCCTTTGTTACTTTTCCTTGTCTGGGGCATAACTTGAAAACTACTGGTTGGAATTAAAAACAACTTCATACAATTGTCAAACACAATAAGGGGAAGTGCAGTGCACAAGAACCATAACTCTATCTAAAGTAATTACAGAGTTATTGCCCTTTGTTACTTTTCCATTGCTTTCTTTTGTCCGGACCATAACTTGAAGAATAATTGTTGGAATTCATTATAACTTCATACAATGGTCAAGCACATTGAGAGGAAGTGCAGTGCACAAGAACCATAACTCCATCTTGAATTATTACAAAGTTACTGCCCTTTGTTACTTTTCCTTGCCCAGAGCATGACATGAAAACTACTGGTTGGAATTCAAAAAACTTCATACAATGGTCAAGCACAATAAGGGGAAGTGCAATGCTAAGAACCATAACTCCATTTTGACAAATTACAGAGTTATTGCCCTTTGTTACTTTTCCATTGCTTTTTTTTGTCCGGAGCATACTTGAAGACTAATGGTTGGAATTCAATATAACTTCATACAATGGTCAAGCACATTGAGCTGAAGTGCAGTGCACAAGAACCATAACTTAATCTTGACTAATTACAGAGTTATTGCCCATTGTTACTTTTCCTTGTCCAGAGCATAACTTGAAAACTACTGTTTGGAATTCAATACAACTTCATACAGTTGTCAAGGACATTAAAAGGAAGTGCAGTGCACAAGAGCCATAACTCCATTTTGACAAAATACAGTGTTACTGCCCTTTGATACTTTTCCTTGTCAGGAGCATAACTTAAAACGTACTGGTTGGAATTCAAAACAACTTCATACAATGGTCAAGCACAATAAGAGGAAGTGCAGTGCACAAGAACTATAACTCCATCTTCTGTATTTATAGAGTTATTGCCCTTTTTTCCTTTTCCTTGTCTTTCTGGACTTATTACAGAGTTATTCAATAAAACTTCATCAATGGCCAACCATATTGAAAGGAAATGCAACATATTAGAACCACAACTATCTTTAATTGCCCACAACCATAACTCTATATTTCAATTCTTTTACAAGGTATTCTGTTACTAGTAATATCCTCATTTGGGAAGCAGTCTTGTGGGGGTATTAATCACATTTAGTGATAGTTCTAGTTGTAAAAGCTTATACTAGAAGTGCACCAGATACCTTTCTCAAAACCTATAAAAGCTGGAGTCACCATATAACTGAAAATAGAGTATTGAATGAAATATATTATCTTTGTTCATATTTACATATTTATACAATGATCCCTTGCCTTTCCACTACAATATCATTTGTTTGTTTGTTCGTGTTGGGTTTTACATCACATCGACACAGTATAGGTCATATCACGACGTTCCAGCTTTACTGGTGGGGGAAGACCTCAGGTGCCCCTCCGTGCATTATTTCAGACAATGGGTACCTGAGTAGAACCACCAACATTCCGTAAGCTAGCTGGATAGCTTCCTCACATGAAAGAATCCAAAGTCCCTGTCGGGATTCGAACCCACAGAGGTGAGGGGCAAGTGGTTTGAAGTCAACGACCTTAACCACTCGGCCACAGACGCCCCTACAATGTCATTTACAATGTATTAATGTTAATTGCAGAAGGGATTGTGTGTATAACAAGATTGAAGCTTTCAGCAAATTTTTGTGCCCCCCCCCCCCCCCCCTTCAAATGGGGGGATTAGGATTTGCCCTTGTCCGTCTGTCTGTGCTTCTGTTTGTCTGTTCTCATGTTGTGTGGCATGCACCTCTAAGAGTGCTTGAGCTAGACCCGAAATGTTAATCAGCATGTGAAGTTGTGCACCTAGGATTTTGCTTGTGGATTTATCTAGTTTTGTCAGACTTATTGCCCTTGCCTTATTAAAAATTTGCTATTTTCAACTTGTGTCAAGCGTAGCCCAAAAGGTATTTGACTTAGAGTCATGAAACTTTACAGAAATGTTGGTCAGCACTTGTAGTTGTGCACCTTTGGGTTTTCGTGTGGATTTATTCAGTATTTGTAAAGTTATTGCCCTTCACTTAGTAAAAATATGCATTTTTCAAATTCTGTCATGCCCGAAAAGTATTTGACCTTGAGTCTTAACAATTTATAGAAATATTGATCAGCATTTGAAGTTGTGCACCGGCTTTTGCTTGTAGATTTATTAATTATTTCTACAGTTATTAACCTTGACTTTGTTAGAATTCGCAATTTTCAACTTGCATTGTGCATAGCCAAAAAATTATTTGACCTAGAGTCATTAAACTTTACAGAAATGTTTGTCAGCATGTGTAGTTAAGCACCTGGGGGTTTGCTTGTATATTTACTTAGATAAAAACTGTTCCAAAATGTTGTGTCATGTGTATCTCTAAAAGTGATCGAGAAACTTTACAGGAGTGTTGATCAGCATGTTAAGTTGTGGGGTTCGCATGTGGATTAATTAAGCTTCAATAGGGTTATTGCCCTTGGCTTAGTATAAATTTGCAATTTTAAAATTGTGTGATGCATAGCTATAAAGTATTTGACCTATAGTTATGAAACTTTACAGAAATGTTGGTCAGCACGTGTAGCTATGCATCTACAGTTGGGAAAAATCAAGATATCAACATTGGAAAAGTTGGATGTCGTTTTTTTTCCCCCAACCACTTAAGGGTATGGGAAGTCATATAGAATTCCTTTTGTCTGTCCCTCTGTCATACTGTCCTGCAGTACGTCAGTGGAGAGTGGGGGCAACTGTGTCCTATGGACACATTTCTAGTTTATTGTGTTTTACAAATTATCCACACTTTCTAATTTTAGTTTACTGATATATTTAGTATTGTGTTTTTTTTGTTTGTATTTTGTAGACTTACCAACTTCCTTTGGATTGTTTTTGTGTATGCAAGAAAAATATAAATCAAATATGCAAAAGGAATTCTCCCATGATGTTGAGTTTATATTTCAATATAATGATTCAGAACATAAAACATTTGAAGAAGAAGACATTGTTACAGATACAAATAACTTTATTGAAATTCATAGTTCTAGATATACAACAGAATTTACTTCAACCGAGAATGAAGAGTTAAATAATCAAAAAGTATTGATAGGGTCTCTTGAAAATGGATTTGGTGTTAAGTTAGGGAACAACAATAGGGAAAGTAGTGGTTCTGTATCCAGAGATATTCACAGGTCATACCGATTATCAACTCATTGTCCGGTTCGAGGATATGACTGTAATTCAGTGCGAAAGCTTAGAGTGCAAGTTGTTCCAAATCAATTGTTACAATCTGAAGAGCAGTGTGATGTCAAAGTTGTTCAAGGTGCAAGTTCAAAGCCATGGGAAATAAATCAAAACAATGATATCTTTTTCAATCTGAAATATAAAGTGAATGTAGAAGAATCGCCAAAGAAGAAAATTGACTGCACATTGCAAGAAGAGGCCTTTGATGACACAATGTTACTGAGAGGAATAACATGGTTGCCAATAAATCAGCTACCAGTACCTGAAATAGATTTAACAGTTGCACACCTTACAAATTTTGAACCTATAATGGAAATTATTGACCTAATTGCTGCAGGAACACCACCCACACCACACATCTCTATGAGGTATGAACTTCTTCGTTTCTGTACCTTACGTAGCTATCCGAAGGAAGACAAACCATATCTAATCAAGTTAGCTGAAGCTGGTTTTTATTATGCATCAGATGGTGATGGTGTTGTCTGCTATTGTTGTGGAATTCGTAGATATAATTGGACAGCAGAAGATAACCCTAAGAAAATTCATGAGAGAATTAACCCAAGCTGTAAGTTCTTGAGAAAAAATGAAGAAGTGAATGTACCAGTGCAGTACTTTGGACCATACAGTAAAGAATTAATGGCTATTATGGAGATACCTGAACCTATAGAAAGACCTCAGGTCAGTGAAGATGTTAATAATGACTGGGCTCCTGAGAGAATTCGTACTCCAGCATCACAACAACCAAACAGACCTAATGAATCAGGGACAAATGCACTTGGTTAGAAAATTATTAATCATACATTATGAATTATTGTAAGAAAAGGTTAATTTATAATCAAAGTCATGGTCATTTTAATTTGTTTTTTAAAAAATCAACAAATGGATTTTTTTACTTACAGATTTATCTAAACATAGACTTGTTTTATGAAGCTTTCCTCATTAAACAGACAATTTTAAGGATAAAATAGCTAACCCAAAAATAAGAAAATAATTTCATAGCTTTAAGAATGCTGTTAATATTAATGGAAGGAATCTATTGTTATACTTTAACAGGTATAAATACAGCTATACCTAAGCATTCTCAGTATGCTACAAAGACAGCTAGAGAAGCTAGTTATAGTACATGGCCTGATACATCCAGCCATACACCAGAGGTACTTGCTGATGCAGGCTTCTTCTATGCTGGTAAGTTCTTTGTCTCGGATAATTCTCAACATTTGTGTCTTCAGATTATGCATTTCCCATATGAATGGTTTACATTCTTCATCTGTCTATTTGTATTTTTAGCTGTCAATTTAAAGTTTAGAGGATTTCAAAATACAAATATTGCTGAGTTGCAGACCTGGTTCTGTACTGGTGCAAAGGCTAAAATATTTCAATGTCTGCAGGTTAATGGTTAATAGTTATTGAGTGAAATGTTGTAAAATTTACTAAGAATATGAAATAAAGGTTAGTTGTCATTTTTTAATTTCAGGTTTTGGAGATTGTGTCCGATGTTTCTATTGTGGCATTGGTAAGGCATCTAAGTTATTTGAGTAACATATATTTAGATCTTTAAACTTAACAAAAATTATTTATCAATTATGAAATGTGTGTAACAGAATCACATTTTGTTTCTTATTTGGGATGGTAAGGGGAATAAGTATTATTCATGTATACTGGTGAGTTTGTATTAATTTCTTCAAATTTAACTGTGTTTTGATATAACACTTTTATGCGATCTGCGATGCGGTGGCATATAGCGATTCACCTGTGTGTGTGTGTGTTTGTTTGTGTATGTTATATAGATTATATAGTGAACTTAAAAAGTATTCTTGTGAAAAACCACTAGTCCTTGTGAAAAACCACTAGTCCAATATCAACCAAACTTAGCAGGATTGATCCTTGGGTGAAGGGCTTCCAAAATTGTTCAAAGAATTTCATTCCATGCAGAAATCTGGTTGCCATGGCAACCAAAAGGAATTATTAGAATAAATTTAAAAAATCTTCTTGTAAAGACCCAAAAGGCCTAGAGCTTAGATATTTTGCATAAGGCATTGCCTGGTGTCCACCAAGATTGTTCAAATTATAACCCTGAGGTCCAAATCGGCCCTGCCCCAGGGGTCATTGATTTTCACTATATGTACATATAGTAAAAACTTAAAATACTTCTTGTCTGAAGGTACTAGGCTTAGAGGTGTGATATTTAATATGTGTTATTATCTATAAGTACTTAACCAAAGTTGTTCAAATTTTGCCTCTAGTGTCAAAATCAGCCCCACCCAGGGGGTCATAGGCTTTCCTGATATGTATATAGTAAAAACTTAAAAAATCATCTTCTCAATATGTACATATAGTAAAAAAAATCAAAAAATCTTATTCTCTGAAGATGCAAGGCTTACAGCTTTAATATTTGTTATATGATATCATCTATAGGTAGTCTACCAAAGTTGTTCAAATTTTGCCTCTAGTTTCAAAATTAGCCCCGCCCCGGGGGTCATAGGTTTTCCTTATACTACCTTTGACAACCGCTGTGTGACAAGTAAAGATATGTACATGTTGTAAGTAAAAATGTTCGGTGATTAAGTTTAAGATTACTTTGCATTAGGTTACTGAATTTTTTTTAACAAGAAAACGAAAATCCACGAATTTAAGAACCCACGAAAATGCCGGTTTTGATAAAACCACGAAATTTCATGCCCACGAATATAAGTGAATTCGCAGTATGTATATAGTAAAAACTTTAAAAAAAAATCATCTTCTCTAAATTGACAAAGGCTAGAGGTTAATTATTTTGCATGAAACATTGTGTACTGAATCTCTAGCAAGATTGTACAAATTATAGCCCTGGGGTCAAAATTGGCCCCGACCCTGGGGATCATTGATTTTCAGTCACTATGTCAAAAAGTAAAATTTAAATTAAAAATCTTATTGTCTGAAGGTACTAATCTGATAATAACAGATAGGAAAGTGATCTATGCATTATGGCAATCTGTATAGAAACAAAAAAAATGTTTTCGTACATTACTATTTAGTGTTGTATTTGTGCGTTGGCATGGCATTTTTTACAAATGCAATCTTGTTCTCACTGCTGTTATTCACTGAGACACTGAAACATAAAGTGGTATCATGTCTTTCACAATGAATGATAGCCATGTACATGTCCAAGATGAAGATAATCTTCCTATTAGAAATGACTTGTTCATTATTGTCTCTGCTTGTATTTCAATTTTGAAGTAAACATATATTGTTGAATTGCTAGATTATATTTACTTTGTTGCCTCTGTCACTTTTTTGTACCTTCAGTCTGTCTGGGTCAATAAAATAGTTCTCTTTTGGCACCAAAAAAGATAAAAATACATTGACTCAAAGTGTGAAGCATTTACATGTACTATTTGATTTTTTCAGCAGGATAGGGTAAATCATCATATTGTCTGCTATTGCTTTGGAGGGAAGGCCTTCCTAACAATTGACATCAGCAATTTTCACATGTGTCTGTTATATATTAGTTCATGTTATACAAATATATGTGTCAGAATATTTACTGGTCTGTGGTATATGACCTTGTTGTATGAAATGGTTGTATATTTCAAGTTGTGTACATGTTTTTATGTAGGATTGCGTCATTGGACAGCAGAAGATGACCCTTGGATAGAGCATGCTCGGTGGTCCAAGAACTGTGTATTTGTCAAACAGAAGAAAGGAGAAGAGTTTGTGAACCTTGTCCAGTTAGCTGTACAATATTCTCAAGATGTTAGTAGCAATTTTTATGTTCTTTACATACATTTTGTATGGTTGTCAACTTCAAGATTTATATGCTTTTAACTAATTATATTTTTGTAAGCTTCACAGAAAAAGATAATGTATAGTCTGATTTGTTTTTCCTTCAGTCCTTCATTTAAACAATTGTCTCATTTTGTATTCATATATTTATAGATATTTTATATACTTGCATGGAACATACCATTGTGTGAATATAGGATAAATAGGGTCAAGTTGGCTCAGTTATACAAAGTTATTTGTCTCATTATAAGACATTAGCTGTGTTTTAGTCAGATCAAGTGGCATGTTATAATCATTATGATAGTTTATGTCTAAAATAGTTGAAGGTGAAATGGTAGGTAGACAAGTCTAGTAAAGAATTGTAGCAGAATAGGTTGATAACATGAACACAGAATGATCACTGATATGCACTGGTATCCTTAAATACAAATAATATTGTAGCTGGTTTTAGCAAGGAGCTCATTTGTGTTGGATAATACATGTGTCGGGTAATACATGCAGGGATATTTTGTGTTTTACTTTAAAGCTTTATTATCACAACATTAAATTTATACTACTGTAAATCACTTTATATTCGTGTGATCTTTATTTCGCGAAAACCCTACCGCCTGGTTATTTTGCGTATTCATGAATTCGCGATGGCAGGGTCAGAAATTTATATTCGCGATATAACAGGATGATTTACGTTAATATCCATATTGTGCCACACTTATACACGGTAAACGTTAATGGTATTTATTAGAGACAATTTTTTTTATTTATATATTTCATACACATTGTACCTACGTACATGTAATTGACTTATTATGAACGGTTTTTCTAATCGTTTGTCAAATTTGCTTATTGTTCGTAAATAGCATATTTGATAAAATGTTAAATGTTTGTAACAAGGTGTAATAGACTTGTTTATAAAACTTAATATACAGAACGAAAATTGTCCTTTGATCACTGTTTTACCGTAAATCTGTTGTTATCTACATAATACTAGAATGTGTTCACCTTTGTCTGTAAAGTACAAAGTTTGTGGATATTGTCGGATTTTTTTTTTAGCTTTTTGTGTTTGATATACATGTACTCATGAGGAAAAAGGAATTGCAAAAATCTGTTGGTAAACTTTCATATCTTTATTATGATGTAAATAAAACATTGCACATATAAATTATTTTGTAATTAGTTATTGTATTTATTTTCAAACTTAATCACAATTCAAAAAAAAATATTATCAGATTTATTTTTATAATGTATGTTATGTTATGAAATTGATGCGGCATCTTGAATTCGGGACGCAGCCGATTTGCGAATAATAGCAAAAATTAAAACATCGCGAAAAATACCGGATTTACAGTATCTAAATCTGAAAATATAGACAAATAATAGAAAATGTAATTTCTTGTATGGTGATTGTATGATATGTTTAAGTAAAGAAATAAAGGATTTTCATTTTGTGTTTTTGTAGAATGAAGCTAACCCCAGTGGTAAGTAGAAAATATAAAATATTACAGCTGTTTTCTCTGCCATTAGTGATATGGTAATAGTGTTCATCTGTATGTACTTCCATTCTACATTTTTGTCTGGTGCATAACTTTAAAATTTTCTAAGGTATTGATTGGAAACTCTTTTAATATAGATAGATGGCAACTAGAACATACATTATTATTAGATAGCAACTAGAACATACATTATTATTTTCTATCTCTACCAAGAATTATAACTCTAAAGTTTAGTTTTGTAATTATTTCCCTTAATTTTATTTCAAATAATTTTTAATACACTTCAATGTCTTTAGTCAATTGACTCTCTGTAATGTACGACTTGATTCTTTGGCTTGAAATAAGTCTTTTGAAGTTAGAAATAGACAGAAGGCCAACTAAGGTTGGTCATGCTCAAATCTACATGAAAAACATGGGGAGATCTAATTTCAGCCAGATAGCAGTTTCATTGTTAAGCATAGTGTGTAATGTATTTGTCAATCTTTTAATTTTCCTGGTAATTGATAAAACTTTACATTTTTTGTTGTTGTTGATTTTTTTTTTTTGTCATGAAATGATAGAGCCATGGCTGTGAAATAATGTAGGTAAAAATACTCCTGAATTGTTTATAAGTCTTTTTTGTTGGCAGTTGACTTATTTCATTTGACTGAAGTTAAGATCTATTTACTTGCATATGAAAGCTAGCGAAGCATAATACAGTAGTTTATATGCCCAAAGACCTATTATGGTATGGAGTTGTCTGCCCGCACTACCAAAATAGGGTAAGGGGGCCATCTAACTTTAAACACAACTATCAACCAAAAGAAACAAGCGTTCATTCTTGGACAATAGAATAAGGGGCCATTGGCCCTCTGTTAAACATAAAATAATAACAAAACAAAAATACCCTCTTAACCTATTTTGGTCACATGTCTGTGGGTTCATCAATTTGTTTGTAGACATTTGGTTTCATCAGCATAACTTTTGAAGAATTTAAGTGATTGTGTTTATATTTGGTATGTAAGTATATGATTTTAAAACTCAGCTCAAGTCTGATTTTTGCTGCAATCAACTCATCATTAATAATTATGCTGATTTTTAAACAATATTTTTTTTAGTGAAATTTTAAGTTTTAGCAGATTTACTTTTAAAGCATTTCACTGATTTGGTTTATTATCTGTTTAGGTCTTTAGACCAAACAAATAATGGTAACGAAATTTCAGATCCTGATGTGCTTATTTGCAAAAACCTAAAGTAGTCAAAACTCATTGAAACAGTTACACCAACGCCCAAAAATTTAAAGGGAGATCACTGCATAAAGATTGTCAAATTACAGGCGCTTTCTCGGGGAAGAAAAAATAGTTCCCGATTGGTCGAAGATTTCTATTATTGTGCTATTCTTTATAGATATACATGCTTATATTAAGCTCCATGATTATTTACATCAGTGTTAAACAACAGGTTTACTGTGAACAAAATATATCAAAATAAATAAAGGTTACTAACCCTAATTTAGAATGAAGTTGTTTTTCATCAAGCTGTTCTCTGGTCGAGGGGTTTACACGCTCTTTTTGGAAGCGAGAGGTCTGGAGTTCTAATCACAGTTAAAGCAACTTTTTTTCTTTCTTTTTTTAATTTGTTTAAGCCAAATAAATCAATTAGTCTTATAGCCAATTTACTACAGTTATAACACTAGAAATAGCATTAGTGGCACTATACAAAAACAAATTGGTTTATAATCTCACAACCTTCACCTTTCTGACATTCTGAGACCCAAACAAATTCAGTGCCTTCTGTGCTTTGATATTAAGCATATTATTTATGATGTTGTATCAAAACAAAAGTTATGTTCAATTTTCATTGCAATCAACTTGTTATGTCCCCTTTTCATTTTTTGTGTGAAATTATTAGTTTTCACAGAATAACTGTAAAAGGATTTCACTAAATGTGTTTATGTTTTGCATGTCAATATGAAATATGATAACGCTTGCCAAATTTTTTTTCTTTGCAGTCAGTTAATTGCAATTGATCTTTTTTTCCAACAATTAATCAAGTCATAATGTGCACTAATGTGTTAATTTGTAACGTTAAAATATAGGACTGTTTTTTGTTCTTTTACATCTGATAAAAAAGTCATCAACTTTGTTGTTGTTGCCTTTCTATAAGGCATATTTTTGTCCATGAAACTGTGTAAATTTGACATCAGGTGTATCCCCCCCCTGCCCCTGCCCTGTTTATTGTCCCGCCTTAGGAGGGGTCTTGTTATATAACTTTGATTGATGATCCATGTGTTTTCTCTTATATCTAGGACAGAACCAACTGCAGTCACAAGAAATAGAGAGACTTTTACTGTCTGATGCTGCCCAGAGTGTACTGGAAATGGGATATCAGCCAAGATTAATTAAAAAATCCATAGAAGAAATTTTAAAACAAAATGGTATGATGTTTTTTTACTATAAAAAAAGCAACACAAACAAACTATTCAATATGAACCTGATTTTCAAGCCTAAAAACATTATTATTCCATGACACTTCGTATCTTGCTAGGGTTGAAGTGAAATTTAATGGTCATATGTTTTCATTTGTTAATGACAGAGGTAAAGGAATAAGTTCACCGCTATACTATGTAACATGGTAAAGTAAAAATTATATCCTGATGTGACATAAGAGACCAAGATTTGTATATTTTCCAGGTGATACAAATATCACTGCTCAACTTCTTATGGAAAAGGTTTTAGAGATCGAGGAATCAGAGAATCGTTCACAATCTGCACCACAAGCTACTGCTACAATAACAAGCTCAGCAACAGTAGCACAAGCTACTGCTACAACAACAACAAACACAGCAACAGCAGTACAAGTCAAAACTCGAACAGGTAAACCAGAAATAACCAAACCTGGAGAAAGTAAAGAAGCTAAAACTAAAAGTAAGGCAGAAAAGAAGCCAGGAAAATTTGATGCATCTAAAGAAAACAAAAGCAAAGGTATAATATTGTTTGTTTTTACATCATTATATCTGTTTTATCCGAGGAAGAAAGTTAATGGTTTGACGCATTGCTAATTCTAGCTATATATTCACTTCAAGGAGAAAGCTAGAAAGTTACAATACAATTATGTTGTGTTAGTTTAACTAGGATCTTTTGTCACTTGTCACTAGCATTTAAAAGATGTAACTGCTGTAATATTACTATAATCTCTTGTTTTAACTTCAATAATGCATCCTTATTGTCACTGCCCTTCAGAAGTTTTCTTAAATCATTTATCATTGTTACAAATTTCTGCCATTGATATTTACTAGAGAGACCATCAAGTGTGCTGATGAATTTCACAAATTAGAAATGATAAAGTTTTACAACATTGTGTTAACTTACATATTTTATCAATTGACAACAAAAATTTGTTAATACACTGTAACTATGTTTGACAGAGAAAAAAGAGGACAAAGGTAAAGAGGACAAAGGTAAAGAGGACAAAGGTAAGTGTTTGGTTGTTTTGATGGCAGTGAATCTCTTAAATAGTTTCTTCCTATCTTCTATTTAACCATAGTTCTAAGATAGCTTTTTGTTAACATCTCAATATTTTTGTACTAAAACCTGATGACTTTACAGACTATAGCAGTGAAACACTCTAGGATATATTTTTGGACAAATATAAGATTTATCAAATTTTGTCATTTATTTTCTGGACAAAATAGAAATGAAAAAATCAGTTGTGTTACCTGTTTAAGCAATAGGAAGAGAATTTTGTTAAAGAGAATCAGTGTTTGATCTGACAGTTGATTATCCTTATAGAGCTTGTTTGATGTTTGTTGATTATTTCCTCTCACACTAGCTAATTGATGTTTCTTTACCTTGACTTACAAAGTATATGGAGAGCTGCCATACTCACCCAGGGGTCTGTGTCCAGATTTCAGATTGAAGTTTTTGTGCAGTAAAATATTTTTTTTACTATGACTTTTTTATTTCTCAAGGTATTAACTTCTGACTTCAAAGTTTGATATCATTCCCATATCTTAATAACATAAGAAGGTTTTTAAGTTTAGCGTCAATATTTCCAGCATTATCTCCCCTTAAAACTTAGAATTTTCCTTTCTTTTTGGTTACTTTTTTATTTCTTCAAACTTCAAATATATTTTTGTTATAAACACCTACATCATAATTATGTGATAAGATTTACAAGTCTAGATCGTGCACTTCAAAATCTCCATTTTGAATTTATTTGAAAATTGTTATAATTTCTTTAAACTATGATCTTTGTAATCATAAATGGTTTCTATTTTACACTTAAGATAATTGTTCTTTGTCATATCATATATGACAAGATTCAAAACTCTAGCATCTTTATTTCAAAAGCTATTTCCTCTTTGAATTTAAAATTTACTTAAAAGGTTATATAATTTTTGCTCTTTTCATTTTTGTTACTGAAGGGATTGGCTTAAGATTTCAGATTGTTATCTTTTCCATTAGAAATTTCTGTGTAACTTTTATTGAAATGGTCACATGCATATTATGTGGTGCAAAAATGTTGAACATTTAAGTGCTTTCTTGATACCAATATAGAAATATATTTATATTATAATTGAACTTTTTATGCCACCGCCCCATCTGCATACATGCCATATCCCCCGCCGGGGGACAAAAACCCCCGATTTTCGACCATGTCTCCCGATCTCCCGCCGTGGGATCGAAATCCCCCGATTTTCAAAAATTCAACCAACAAAAAAATTAAAGCATCATTTTTACCAATAAACATAATTAAACAATAGACTTAAACAACTTTTACAACTATATATGCCTGAAGTAATATTTCCCCATTAAACAGCAGGGGTCTAACGGATAATTGTATTGTTAGTTACTCCGACACACTTCAGCTGTCAAGGAATAACAAATTCTCCTTTGATAAACCTGTCAATCAGTGTCAGTATTGCAGGTGCTTAACCAATGACAGCGTCCGATACTGAATGTGTGACGTATCAATTTTTGTTGGGCTATGTAACCCCGCCTTGAGTTTGTTGTCGGCATTGGGTCTTTGAAGTTGATAAGTGCAGATAAAAAAATAATGATCAGGCAATAGAATCTCAAAGAATCACAGATTAGCAATGTTTGAAACTATTATTTTTTATGTAACTGTGATCTATGTTGTTGCAAAAATAATATAAACTAGCTTTGTCTCACAGTAAGCAACAAACACTGAGGAGGGATTGAAAGAGGTAAAAATCCGTTTCAATCAGATAAATAATAAATAATACCTGTTTTAACACCCAAAGGGCCAAAATAATTAGGTCCAATTATTATCCAGTAGTCAGTACACTCCAAAAAACCTTTACACAACTCTGCATCAATTACACAGTTTACATGTACATACAGGTATCAAGTGACGTAGTGTCTAGACTCCCTACTGCCATATAAGGCAATCGATGTGTGTTAACAAATTGAGGTGTGAAGTACATAATGATTACTGAGTAAACTGGATTAAGATTTGTGTCAGATTTTTTTTTACTGTTTATGAAGTGTCAACGGAAAATTTTTAAGACAGCATTTTTTTATTTCACCTTTCTAAGGCTACAAAAATTCTCCGTGAAAATGTTGATACCTTTCATTTAAAGAGAAAAATCTTTGGCTGTTAAAGTATATTTATTTTAATGATTTTGAATGCATCAAATTCAAGTTATTTGTACTAAAATGATTCAATATATATCTGATATAAAAATGTATTTTATATGATAAACATGCAATTAATTATATTTGTTTTACAGGGATTCTTATTTTATTTACATCAAATATTTAAAGTACCTATGTTTATTTGCAATTGTTTACATATTATTCTTTCACAGTCATGTATGTTAAAACTTGAAAATATCAAATGATCTTGTAGAAATGTTCATTTTCATAATAAAATGGGGGAAATTTAATTAAATGTTTGCATCGTTTTAAGATTACGACTGGTTTGTGCTTGCTTAAAAATCCCCCTACTTTTGGTCCAAATCCCCTGCTTTTTAAAGCCAAATCCCCCTATCTGTGTGGCTGAAAATATGGCATGTATGCATCTGCGATGCGGTGGCATGTAGCGATTCACCTGTGTGTGTGTTTGTATGTATCCATGTATGTATGTATGTGTGCGTGCGTGTGTGCGTGCATGTGCGTTCTATAGGTCATAAAGTGAACTTAAAAAATCTTTTTGTGAAAAACCAGTTGTCCAATTTCAACCAAACTGGGCAGGATTGATCCTTGGGTGAAGGGCTTCCAAATTTGTTCAAAGAATTTTATTCCATGCAGAAATCTGGTTGCCATGGCAACCAAAAGGAATTATAAGAATAAATTTAAAAAATCTTCTTGTAAAAACCCAAAAGGCCTAGAGCTTAGATATTTTGCATAAGGCATTGTTTGGTAGACAAATTATAGCCCTGGGGTCAAAATCGTCCCTGCCCCGGGGTCATTGATTTTCACTATATGTACATATAGTAAAAACTTAAAATACCTTCTTGTATGAAGGTACAAGGCTTAGAGGTGTTATATGTGGTATGTGTCAAAATCAGCCCTGCCCCAGTGGTCATAGGTTTTCCTTATATGTATAAAGTAAAAACTTTTAAAATAGTCTTCTCTAAATTGACAAAGGCTAGAGGTAAGATATTTTGCATGAAACATTGTGTAGTGAACCTCTAGCAAGAATGTTCAAATTAAAGCCTTAGGGTCAAAATTGGCCCAATCCCAGGAGTCATTGATTTTCCCTATATACATATAGTAAAAAATAAAAAAATCTTATTGCCTGAAGGTGCTTACTTAGAGCTTTAATATTTGTTAAATGATATCATCTATAGGTATTCTACCAAAGTTGTTCAAATTTTGCGTGTAGTGTCAAAATTAGCCCCTCCCTGGGGATCATAGGTTTTCCTTATATGTATTTAGTAAAAACTTTAAAAATTGTCTTCTCTAAATTGACAAAGGCTAGAGGTTAGATATTTTGCATGAAATATTGTGTAGTGATCCTCTAGCAAGATTGAACAAATTATAGCCCGAGGGTCAATATTGGCCCCACCCCCAGGGGTCATTGATTTTCACTATATACATATAGTAAACAATTAAAAAATCTTCTTGTCTGAAGGTACAAGGCTTAGAGCTTTGATATTTTGTAAATTATATCATCTATGGGTCCTCTACTAAAGTTGTTTAATTATGCCCCTAGTGTTAAAATTGTCCTGCCCTAGAGGTGATAGTTTCCTTAAATGTATAAAGTAAAAACTTGAAAAATCTTCTCTGAATTGACAATGGCTGGAGGTTAAATATTTGGCATGAGACTTTGGGAAGTGAACCTCTACCAAGCTTGTTCAAATTACAGATGTATAGCCCAGTGTCAAAATTGGCCCGCTCCGGGAGTCATTGATATTCACTATGAACATACAGTTAAAAATTAAAAAATCTTCTTGTCTGAAGGTACAAGGCATAGAGCTTTGATATTTGCTATATATCATCTATAGGTCCTCCACCAAAGTTGTTCAAATTTTTCCCCTGGTGTCAAAATGGGGTATTGATTCTCATTGTATACACATTGTAAAAACAGAAACTAAAACAAATGTTTTCTGAATTGGAGAAAGCTACAGCTTAGATATTTGACATGAAATGTTGTTTGCTGAACCTGTATCATGATTGTTTTGAATTAAACCCTTTGGTCAAAATTATGCCTTGCCCAAGTGGACAGTGACCTACTTTCTTGTCCTTTGATGTACAGCTATGAAATTTGAACCATGTGCACAGATTAAGATGTAAAGTGAACTTTGATACCAGCTGACCTAGATTTTGACAAAGTGTCTCACTGTGTTGTCCTTTGATGTAGTCATAAAGTTTAGGCTGTCTGAAATATGACCTTCACCACCAAATTCACTAGACTCAACTGCATTGACATATTCCTACTCTGATCTTTTATTATGCCACCCCAGCATCTGCGATGCGGTGGCATATAGCGATTCACCTTGTGTGTTTGTTTGTGTGTGTGTTCTATAGATTATATAGGGAAAAACCACTTGTCCAATTTTAACCAATCTGGCAGGATTGGTACTTGGGTGAAGGGCTTTCAAAGTTGTTGAAAGAATTTCATTCCATGCAGAAATCTGGTTGCCATGGCAACCAAAAGGAATTATCAGAATAAATTTTAAAAATTCTTCTTGTAAAGACCCAAAAGGCCTAAAGCTTAGATATTTAGCATAAGGCATTGTCTGGTAGACCTCTACCAAGATTGTTCAAATTATAGCCCTGGGGTCAAATTCGGGCCGCCCCGGGGGTCATTGATTTTACTATATGTACATGTAGTAAAAACTTAAAATACCTTCTTGTAAAGACAAAAAAGGCCTAGAGCTTAGATATTTTGCATAAGGTGTTGTCTGGTAGACCCTTACCAACATTGTTCAAATTTTAGCCCTGGGGTCAAAATGTGCCCCGCCCCGGGGGTCATTGATTTTCAGTATATGTACATATAGTAAAAACTTTAAATACTTTCTTGTAAAGACCCAAAAGGCCTAGAGCTTACATATTTTGCATAAGGCATTGTCTGAAAAACCTCTACCCAGATTGTTCAAATTATAGCCCTGGGGTCTAATTGGACCCGCCCCTGGGGTCATTGATTTTCCTTATATGTATATAGTAAAAACTTATTGTTAAAACTTAAAAAAAAATTCTCCGAGCAATTGACAAATGCTACAGGTTGGATATTTTGCATGAAACATTGTGAAGTGAACCGCTAGCAAGATTGTTCAAATTATAGCCCTGGGGTCAAAATTGACCCCACCCCGGGGGTCATTGATTTTCAATATATACATATAGTAAAAAATAAAAAATCTTATTTTCTGAAGGTACAAGGCTTAGATCTTTAATATTTGTTAAATGATATCATCTATAGGTACTCTACCAAAGTTGTTCAAATTTTGCCTCTAGTGTCAAAATTAGACCCACCCTGGTGGCAATAGGTTTTCCTTATATGTTTATAGTAAAAACTAAAAAAATTATCTTCTCAAAATTTACAAAGGCTAGAGTTAAGATATTTTGCATGAAACAATGTGTAGTGAACCTCTAGCAAGATTGTACAAATTATAGCCCTGTGGTCAAAATTGGCCCCACCCCGGGGGTCATTGAATTTCACTTTGTTCATAATTATAGTAAAAAAATTAAAAAATCTTCTTCTGTTAAGGTACAAGGCTTAGTGCTTTGATATTTGGTATACAATATCACCTATGGTTCCTCTACTAAAGTTGTTTTAATTATGTCCCTAGTGTTAAAATTGCCCTGCCCCAGAGGCGATAGTATAAAGTAAAAACTTGAAAAATCTTATTCTCTGAATTGACAAATGCATAGAGCTTTGATGTTTGCAATATAATATCATCTATAGGTCCTCTACCTAAGTTGTTCAAATTTTTCCCCTGGTGTCAAAATTGGCCCTGCCCGGGTGCAGTGATTCGCATTATGTACACATAGTAAAAACAGAAACTGAATTTCTGAATTTGAGAAAGCTACAGCTTAGATATTTGACATGAAATGTTGTTTGGTGAACCTGTATCAAGTTTGTTCTGAATTGGGTCAAAATTTTGCCTTGCCCAAGGTTACAGTGATCTACTGCAATGGAATTATGACCATGTGCACAGTTTTAGTTGTATAATTGAACTTTGATATCAGGTGACCTAGATTTTGATGATGTGACCTACTTTCTTGTCCTTTGATGTACAGCTATGAAATTTGAACCATGTGCACAGATTAAGATGTAAAGTGAACTTTGATATCAGCTGACCTAGATTTTGACAAAGTGTCGTACTCTGTTGTCCTTTGATGTAGTCATGAAATTTAGGTTGTGTGAAATATGACCTTCACCACCAAATTCAGTAGTAGATTTAACCACTAATCTGATAATAAGAATTAGATAGGTCAGGAATCTATGCATTATGACAATTTTCAATTGTATAGAAACACAAAAAAAATCTGTTCCTACACTACTATTTAGTGTTGTATTTCACAAATACAATCTTGTTATGTACTGTAAATTCAGATATTGTATATTATTAATGCATCATTGTTAGCACAGAAGATATATCATATATTGCAAAGTTATGTAAATGATGCACAATTCTGTAAATTAACAAAATTTTATCTATGTATTGTAATTTTAAATGCAAGTAAATTCAGTGCATTATGTTTAATAATTTATCAGTTGGGCAGTGTATATCGGTATTAAATAGCTATATAGTCTAACATGATCACCAATAAGAGAGCTCACTAATACTGATTTTAAAGATAAAATGATAATTCTAACTACTTTCTTCTTCAGATGAGTCCCAAGAGGATCCAAAGGCCATAAAGAAGGAGAATGAAGAGTTAAAGGAGCAAACATTATGTAAAGTTTGTTTAGATAACACAGTTTGTATTGTGTTTTTGCCTTGCGGGCATTTAGTTACCTGTGCCGATTGTGCTCCAGCCATGAGAAAATGTCCTATTTGTAGAGCACTTGTTAAGGGCACAGTTAGAACATATATGTCATAAGTTACGATATCTTAATGTTAACATAGTTGGAATACTATTGATAATCGCTACAGAAAGTTTATCGTGTTTTCTTAACATGTACATGGTGTAAACTGTAAACAGTAATTGAGAAGTGAGTTCTATGAAGTGTTGAAATATTGCTTTGTTCTTTTTAGCTCACCTGTCACAAAGTGACAGGGTGAGCTTTTGTGATCGCTTTTCATCCGGCGTCCGTCCGGCGTCTGTCGTCCGTCCGGCGTCCGTCTGTCCTTAAACTTTTACTTTAAATGACATCTCCTCATAAACCACTAAGCCAATTTCATCCAAATTTCACAGGAATGTTCCTTTGGTGGTCACCTTTAAAAATGTTCAAAGAATTTAATTCCATGCAGAACTCTGGTTGCCATGGCAACGGAAAGAAAAAACTTAAAAAATCTTCTTTTAAAGAACCCAAAGAGCTAGAGCTAAGATATTTAGCATGAAACATGTTCTAATGAGTGTCTACCAAGTTTGTTCAAATAAAAGCCCTAGGGTCAAAATTGGCCCCACCCCAGGGGGTTATTGATTTTCCCTATATCCATATAGTAAAAACTTAAAAAATCTTCTTTTAAAGAACTCAAAGAGCTAAAGCTAAGACCTTTAGCATGAAACATTTTCTAATGGGTGTCTACCAAGTTTGTTCAAATAAAAGCCCCGGGGTCAAAATTGGCCCCGCCCCGGGGGTTGATTTTCCTAATATGTGTATAGCAAAAACTTATAAAATCTTCTTTGAAAAAACCCAATGAGCTAGAGCTTAGATGTTTAGCATGAAACATCTTCTTATTGATGTCTAATAAAAGCCCTTGGATTAAAATTGGGGGGGGGGGGGGGTAGATCGTTGTTTTTCATTATATGTGTGTAGTAAAAACTTAACATCGTGAAACATCTTCTAATGGGTGTCTTCCAAGTTTGTTCAAATAAAAGCCCTGGGGTTTAAACAGCCCAGCTCTGGGTGCCTTTATATAGTTGAGCAACCTCAGGGCCATCATGGCCATCTTGTTTCAAATCCATGTTCTACCCACTTTTCATTACAAAGTCAGACATCAATGTGCATTATTTTCCACTACAATTGAAAATTGTGTATGAGCACTGCAGTTTTTATCCCCCGCCGATGGAATCGGGAGGGGGATATAGTTTTGGCGTTGTCCGTCCGTCCTTCCGTCCGTCCGTCCGTCCATCCATCTGTCCGTCGGAATTTCGTTTCCGGAGTAGTTCTCTGCAACTACTGGCTGGAATTCAACGAAACTTTATGGGAATCATCAATATCAAGAGGAGATACGCATATCGTCGGCTTGTTCCGGTCCGACCCTTTAATTCAGAGTTATGGCCCTTGATTAGTTATGTAGTATGCATATAGAGTAAAATCGTTTCCGCACTACTTCTCTGCAAAGTTCTACTGGCTGGAATTCAACGAAACTTTATGGGAATCATCAATACCAAGAGGAGATGCGCATATCGTCGGCTTGTTCCTGTCAGACACTTTAACTCAGAGTTATGGCCCTTGATTAATAATCCAATATGCATATGGAGTAAAAATCGTTTCGGGAGTAGTTCTCTGCAACTACTGGCTGGAATTCAACGAAACTTTATGGGAATCATCAATATCAAGAGGAGATGCGCATATCGTCGGCTTGTTCCGGTCAGACCCTTTAACTCAGAGTTATGGCCCTTGATTAGTTATGTAGTATGCATATAGAGTAAAAATCGTTTCCGCACTACTTCTCTGCAACTACTGGCTGGAATTCAACGAAACTTTATGGGAACCTTCAATACCAAGAGGAGATGCGCATATCGTTGGCTTGTTCCGGTCAGACACTTTAACTCAGAGTTATGGCCCTTGATTAGTTATGCAGTATCCATATAGAAAAATATTTGTTTCCTCGCTACTTCTCTGCTACTACTGGCTGGAATTCAATGAAACTTTATGGGATACTAAGAGGAGATGTGCATACAGTCGCCTTGTTCCAGTCAGATACTTATAACTCAGATTTATGGCCCTTGATTAGTTATGTAGTATGCATACATCTCATTGGCATTTCCAGATTTTACTATTTAACACAAAGTTATGGCTCTGTTATTGCCCTGAATATTTATCAAGTTAAAAAAATATTACTGTTTATGCCATGATTAATATATAAATAAAGCCTTATGTCTTCAGTTGTTGTGTTAATAATAACCAGTACTCGGCGGGGGATATAAATTCAACGAATTTGCTTGTTTTTATAGTGATGGCAAGCTGACTGCCCAAGCTGATGTTGTTTGTCATCATCCACAATTTCTTTAAATCTCATTCAAAACCTTTCCAAACTTCACAAGAATTATCTATAAGTGGATCTTTACAAAAGTTACATAAATAGTTCCAGTCTGATACATAAGTATTTCACAGGAGCTAAAAATTTACTTTTGATAATGTAATTTAAAAATTACTGAGTGAGCTACCATTTGTGTCCATTTGTGCTTGAGGGACACTAGTGATGTTGTCCTCCACCAGAATAGCTGGTAGGTCACTGTATGACCTAACTGTTTGGTGCCAAACAAGAAGAAAAAGTTCTTGTGTGAAACTGCAATGCCTAGATCTTGGTCTTTTTTGGCATGTTGCATTGCTTTTAGGTCTTTTACAGAAGTGACAAAAATCATGCACCTGGGGTCAAAAAAGGTTCAGTCTTGGGAGTCACTTAGACTTACATAGTGAAATGCATTGATGTCTTCTTGTGTGAAGTTAAAATGCCCAAAGTTTTGTTATTTGGCATGTTTAAATGTTTTAAAAGTTATGCAGCTCACCTTATTACTGTTTTTTATGCCCCCACAAAGTGGGGAGCATATAGCGTTGCACTTGTCTGTCCGTCCGTCCGTATGTCTGTCCAAGCAACCAAATAGGGATAGGGGGCCATCTAACTGTAAACAGAACAAAAGAGAACAATAGAGTTCATTCCGTAGCAATAGAATAAGGGGCCATGGCCCTCTATTAAACAAAAGAAAATGACAAAAGAAATGGCCCCTTAGTCCATTTAAGTGGCACGTCCGTACGTCCCGAAATCTTGTGAACACAACTCCTCTTAAACCGGATGGCAGATTTTGCTTAAACTTCCAGGGATGAACAACCTTAATGTGTAGATGGAAGAATAGGAAGGAATTTTTGCTGCGACCAAATTTAACAGAATTATGGCCCTTTGTTGATTTTTTTCACTATATACCATATATATGTTGTCAGTGGGGGCATCCGTGTCCTTTGGACACAGTTCTAGTTGTATTGAAGAATAGTGACATTTTCTAACAATGCATCTTGGGTGAGTGAAAGCCATCATGACCATCTTGTTTTATATACATGTATATCTAATTACTATTTTGTTGGATAAAATAGAACAAAACTGAGAACCAGTCAGTGCTATACAAATTATTCTCACCTTACTAGATTCTTAAACCTAACATTGAAGGCATTTAGTTGTTTTGAGTATGTGGGCCATTATTGAGATTTGTGAAGAATTTGAAAACCTTAAATTTATTTTGTTGGTATATTTAGCTACTGTGACGTTTAGTACAGTTATTTGGGTACACCTGACCTTCTTCCTCCTGAAGTTCTGTTGTGGACTTTTGCTGTGTTTAATTTGGAACTGTTCCACTGATAAATTACAATGTACTATAATTGAAGGCCAACATATCATTTGGAATAGTTGGACATTCAAGCCTGGATATATATTGGAGACAGGAGCATGATGTTTTCTATGGAATATTTACAGTTGTAATATATGACCTAAAGATGATAAAATATGAGGGTAAAATTGTATCTGAATCTGATAAGTATTTAATGTGAAGCATTTAAAAGAGAATATACAGGTGATTTGTGTAATGAATGGTAAAATAAAGCTCAGTCTCTGGTATTGACCCAGGTAGGCAACGTCTGATTACATTACATTGTTGGCAGTTCCAAGTTTTAACTGGGTACAGTAACTGTTGTACTAATTGTTCATCATTTAAATCAGCATAGCAAACACAAGTGTAGTGTATCAGTTATATACATGTCAGTTACATACATATCTCACATACAAGCTGATTTTTGTCTGAGCGTACATCGTCGTATTCATATCAATTGCTTGATCTTGCTTAGAAAATTTTTAGAAAGTTTTAGGTTTTTTTTCTGTAACATTTGTTTGAATGCTTTAATTTTTGTCACTATTCTTCTTTAGTTTTCTGGAGCCCTGAACATTTTATGAAACTTCCTGATTGATTTGTTATTTATGTGATAATGTGAAGTTTATGTTTGATTGTGTACAATGTCTCATCATATCAATTAATAAATGTGTCTTGATTATAATGATAATTAAAAAAAAAGTATGACCAAGTATCCTAATTAACACAGAATAACATTTATTTATGGTGAGTGTTAATGTCAGTTCTATGTTAAAGTGTCCTAATGATTGGAAATGTTTACTTTGGCTTTATATAGAAAATATTTATAAGCGTTATTGATGGTTTGATATTTTGTGACTTTGATATTGGGATATTTTCTTCTTTTACTGAGTTTACCTGTAGTGTATAGAGTTTAAAATGATACATTTTATTATCTTTGTGTGTAAATGATTTAAAAAAGTCTGTGTAGCAATTACAATTATTTTCAAATATATAATTTGAACATAATTTATCCAAGTGTGATTTGATGTGACTTAAACAACCTGAAAAAAACTTGCTGACTGTGAGTCTTTATTTGTTTGATTATTGTGATTTGTTTAATAAGTAATTTATACTTGTATAACGATGTTATTGCAAAGGAAATCTATGTGTTTTATTGTCATATTAATTTTTGTTTTTAAAGATGTAAACTATTTGACAAACACATTTTGTTTGTTTGTTTGACAAAAAAGTGCTTTATGTATGCCATTGTTGACAGAATGTGCAAAATTGACAATCAAAATTTGTTAAAATGCTGCATAAATTTCAACAATTGTTTTGTTTCATTAAATTGAGTTTTCAAACACTATACTAAATGATTTTGAAGTGTATAATGCTAGATGTCCATGTATTTATAAGAAATGCAAGTATCTTGTTATTTTAGTTTCAAGTTATTTCAGGTCCATCTGTTTCATAGAGTCTTTAGAGATCCAAAACAGAAAATTAAGAATGTTGCAGGGTAAGATTTGAATGAGCCTGTTTATGGACGATACAGGAAAGTGCAAGCTACTGTATATAAATAATAGCAGAAAATCCTTTTGGGATGCACTGAACTAGAAAAAATATGACACTGAATAAATTCAATTCATTACCATATGTTTTATGAGGATAAAACAATTTACAGACATTCATGTTAGAAAATTGTTCTTTAATGCATTCTTACTCATTTAGATTATTTGTTTTCTTTTGCTTATATTCTATTTTCTTCAGTGTTTGAATTGCTTGTGTATGTTGAATATTATTTGTTATTGTTTGTAACTGTATATATTAAGTAAATTTGACAGAGGCTCATAGCAAGACTAGCCTTGCCTTTTAATAATAGTAATAAAAATCTTTAGTTTTAGAAGGTAACATTCAAAGTTTACAAATTAAGAAGTATATTTATTATCCCCCGCCGAAAAGGCGGCTGGGGATATAGAAATAGTCTCCGTCCGTCCGACCTTCCTTCCGTCCGACATTTTTGTCCGGAGCATATCTCTAAAAGTATTTGAGTTATCAACTTGAAACTTCACAGGTGGATAGACCTCATTGAGGAGGAGTGCAGTGCACAAGAATGATAACTCTACCCTGCATAATTTTTGAGTTATTGCCCTTTGTTATTTTTCAAAATTGATTTTTGTCCAGAGCATAACTCCAAAAGCCTATGAGATATCAACATGAAACTTCTTAGGTGCATATATCTCACTCAGGAGGTGTGCAGTGCACAAGAATGATAACTCTACCTTTCATAATTTTTGAGTTATTGCCCTTTGTTATTTTTCATACTTAATTTTTCACCCGAGTGGAGCAAAACTCAAAAAGTTTTTGAGATATCAACATGAAATGTCATAGTTGGATAGATCTTATTGAGGAGGAATGTTGTGCGCAAGAATGATAACTCTTCCCTATACAATTTTTGAGTTATTGCCCTTTGTTCTTTTTCATGCTATTTTGTCCAGAGCTTATCTCAAAAAGTATTTGAGGTATCAACTTGAAACTTCATAGGTGGATGGATCTCATTGAGGAGGAGTGCAGTGCACAAGAATGATAACTCTACCCTGCATTATTTTTGAGTTATTGCCCTTTGTTATTTTTCAAAATTAATTTTCGTCCAGAGCATAACTCAAAAAGCTTTTGAGACATCAAAATGAAACTTCATAGGTGCATAGATCTCACTCAGGAGGTGTGCAGTGCACAAGAATGATAACTCTACCTTTCATAATTTTTGAGTTATTGCCCTTTGTTATTTTTCATACC